TTGCACCTCTGTCGGTAAAAAATGTGGGGTACAGACCACCTTAACGATTAATTTTTTTCTATCATTTCAGCTGTTACGCTTAAATACAACTGGAAATTCATAATGGCTAATACTTATGTGGGTGTTTTTTAGATTCCTAAGACCTTCAAAAACAATTCCCCCGTGTTCATAACATGCGTCCAATAAAAACACATACCGGTTTTTAGCCGAAAATTTGGAAGGTAAATTTCGGAATTGCTCATATACATAGACGCTGCGCATCGAGCTGACGTGTTAGAAAATGAGGATTTCATAAGCCGAAAAAAATTAATATGTTGCTATTATGTTTTTTTTTTTTCACAAAAAACACAAGATTTTCTGCATCTTCTGAGGACACATTTACGGAACTGCAAGTTTCCAAATTTAATTTAATCAGTGGTGTCCAGCTGTCAGTACAAATAAAGACTATTCGGCTCTCATCATTATGAATAAAAATATCCTTCTGATTTTTGGTGAAAAATTTTGATGGCTTATTTCACAGCTTTTATATAAAAAAAACTAACTATAATAATGAATTGTGAAATAAATAATGTTAATGCAGAAAATTTTACCTTGTGGTAAACAAATTTTCGCTCGCATTCTTCAATAATTGGCTGGGAAAAACAAGTCAAGATAATAAGTCTTACATCTACAAACTACAATTTATGCACATAACATCTTAGATGCTGCAGCAAAGTCGGTACCCACCATAATCACCACCTTGTTTAAGAATAAATTATAATAATGCTAACAAAAACTATTATAAATTAATGTTTAATAGCTTACCGAGGTGTTAGCGACGATAATACTCAAAGTAGCTCCCCGCGAAAAGAGGTATAACAACATCAAGTTACCCACAATCAACCCGGGGCATAGCGCGGTCGGTCGTTTTAATTATTTTTTCAAAAATACATATGTAACAGTACGTTTGTTAATGCTAACTTTTAAATATTTTCCTTTAGTATTACATAGGTAATCTGAAATTTTACACCCCATTAACAATTTCTCGACAATATGATATAGTTGAAATCAAATGAATTTTGTCAAGTATTCATTAAACTAACATTTTCGTTTTTTAAACTGTTAGTCTAGGGAAATGTTTGCAATAGAATAATTCAAAACTAAGGAGCCTAATTTTAAAATTCCTTCCTTTTCAAATTGTTGAAACTTTTAATCTCAAGCCACCAGAGATTGATTACTTAGCCTTGATAGTGATGAAATCAAATAAATTGGGATAATATTTCAGCATGGCTGAAAGTTTATTTTTCAAACCACAAACACACAGTAAAGTTTACAATACAATAATTAAAAAATTAATAACACCATTTGTATAAGTTTACATATGACTCTACTTGTCCAGACGTCTCGATTAAGTTCGAACTGTTCGCTTTCGTCATACTTTTAATAAAAATTAACAATAAAAATGTACAATAAAGTTAATGATCTTGAATGAAAATTTAGCTCTTCACCCAACAAAATTATATATGAAATTCCGTGATATTGTAAGCTTCGTATATTACACGTAGTCAGGCGAGCGCGCGATTTTTCCGCTATCAATAATCACAGAATTTGACTTTACCGATACTCTATAGCGGGGCGTCGACTACGCGAAGCTCGCCGAAAGACAAAGCCATGATGTTTTGGGGATAGGCACAGCTATGAGCAATCGCGATTCGCGTTATATATACTGCGAATAATAGACGAAAATACAACGCTATAAAGGTTGACGTTTGATTCGCCGACGCTTACGGCTAGACAAGTCAACGGTTGGTCAATCGTATTTTTTTTTACCATATAATCCATTTCATTTCGTAGCAGAGTTTCGAGAATTAAAATCGCTGTTTTCATTCGCGCATATCAGTGATAATTCTGCTAATCTCCTCGGTCGTCCGAAACACAAAATGTAATTCAACGAGACTGACTCGAAGTATTTGAGTGTCTTTTTTTTGTATTTCTAAGACGTTGCATTTAAATTTGTCTTGAAGATTCTGCACAAGAGCGTCAAAGTTCTGGTATTATTTTATTTCAATCAACAAGTTCGCCATAACCTCGATCATAATTTTTAGCCTGTGAAAAGGTATGTATCTTTTGCAATAAATCAACTTTTGTTAAGTTTTGCTATCATGATTATTGTTTTTTGAATTTTACTTGGCTGTTGTAATCTAATAGTAAATTAGCTGTACTGCATATGTTCAAAAAATTGATTCTACATTAAAATTCTGCTACTGCATTTTGTGAATATTGCATTGGTACAAAAAGCAGATGTAAAATATTCTCTTAGTACCATTTCTATTTGTCAAATATTTAATTATTAACTTCGTCATTAATATCTTGAATCAACCTATTTACTAGATCTTATCAAAGTGTATTCTTTAAAATGACTCACTCTGTAAATACCAATCATACAGTGTCTTTTAAAAAGCAATCTTTAAATCATTTTTTGTAATCCTTTTTTTCATCCACTTCAAGGGTTTTCTACTACTAAAATAACTTGATTTATTTTTAGACTACGACTTGATTTATCAAAATGGGTTGCACTGCTAGTCATCACAGTGATAAAGCTGCAGTTGAAAGATCGAAAAAAATTGACAAGAGTCTGAGAGCTGATGGGGAAAGAATTGCAAGCGAAGTCAAATTACTTTTGTTGGGTGCAGGAGAATCTGGAAAATCAACTATTGTGAAACAAATGAAAATAATCCATGAGACAGGATATAGCCATGAAGAATGTGAGCAATTCAAACCGGTTGTTTACAGCAACACAATTCAGAGTTTGATGACTATTATAAGAGCAATGGAGCAACTAAAAATTGATTTTGCCGATCCCAGTAAAGTTAATATTGCTAGACAGTTCTTTACAATTGCTTCATCTACAGAAGAAGGAGAACTGAATTTAGAATTGGCAAAATTAATGAAAAGTCTATGGACAGATGCTGGTGTCCAGTTGTGTCTATCCCGCAGTCGTGAATATTTATTAAATGATTCAGCTGCTTATTATTTGAATGCATTAGATCGAATTTCTCAACCGAATTACATTCCAACGCAACAAGATGTACTGAAAACAAGAATTAAGACCACAGGAATTGTTGAAACAAGATTTTCTTTCAAAGGCTTGAATTTCAAAATGTTTGATGTGGGTGGCCAGAGGTCAGAAAGAAAAAAATGGATTCATTGCTTTGAAGATGTAACTGCCATAATATTTTGTGTTGCTCTTAGCGAATATGATTTAGTTCTTGCTGAAGATGAAGAAATGAACAGAATGGTTGAATCAATGAAATTATTTGATTCTATTTGCAACAGCAAGTGGTTTGTAGATACTTCTATAATTCTCTTTCTTAATAAGAAAGATTTGTTTGCTGATAAAATAACCAAGAGTCCATTGACAATCTGTTTTCCTGAGTATTCTGGATCAAATACTTTTGAAGAATGTGCTTCTTATATACAAATGAAATTTGAAAACTTGAACAAGCGCAAAGAACAAAAACAAATGTATTCTCATTTTACTTGTGCTACTGATACAAATAATATTCAATTTGTTTTTGATGCTGTTACAGATGTAATCATCCAAACTAATTTAAGTAACTGTGGTTTACTAAGCTAATTAATATGACGAATTAGCATCAGCTGATTAAAAATGTTGTATTTTTATACAATACTACTTTTAAATATTCAATTTGAAAAAGCTAAAATATTATTTAACTTTTAAAATTATATGTTAATAATAACAGCAATCAAATTTAAAAAATAGTTTGAAACTAGTGATTGCACATAAATGAGTTAATTTTTTAAAATTATATTGTATAGTATATTTTTGATAATGAATGTTCATGTGAAAAAACAAAATTAACCATTTATTTGACTAAATGGGAACTCAATAGAACATAATACTTTCATGACAGAGATACTTCATTCATTTGAAGTTTTTAATTTATAGAAATCTTTACATTATACTATAAGCATTTTGAATTTATATTTTTCCAATAAAAAGGATATAAAATTTTATTCATAATACTTTTTATACAATTATTTTTGTAATTGATAGTTGTATACAAAATAATAAGTCTGGCTTTATATTATGTTCAAGCAATAATATACAGTGCAAAAATTGAAATTACTCATAATGAAATTAGGATAAGAAATGCATCAAAATATTTATTACTATGTAAATAATAACTAAGGAAAAAATTGAACGCAGACTTGACAAATATTTTTTGTATGAAATTTTTTTATTACATTTAACTATTTAAAATCACATAATGTATTTTTTATTGATACTAATAAATTTCATACATAAATTGTACTTTTTGATTTAACTTTTAACTATACTATTCTATGTCTAAATAATAACAAAACTACTCATATAAAATGTATAATTATATGGCAAATTCATTTATTTTACATTTACAAAAAACAAAGATCAATATTGCTCAATAGATCTCGTTACATTAATTTTTGTACATTATTGTTCGCAAAAATACAGTATTCTTATGAAAATTTTGTTTTTTAAGGACAAAACAATCTAAAAATAAAATAAAAACACTAATGATATAAATAAAATAAGATTACATGTCATGTTTCTTTAAAACTTGGTAGAGTAGTTTATGATCAGTTCATAGTAACTCTTATAATAATTTGTTAGTTCTTTTTGGATAATTTTTTAAATTCAACTATCCATAGTTTATACACAATTTTTAATTCATTCACAATTTCATTCGTTCATAATTAATTCATAATTTTCAATTCATTTTTCAAGAAAAGCCTTGAACTTAAAACTAATGCGTTTATGGTTTAAGCTTAACCAGAGTAACATTTTTAGATTGCATGCACCTATCACATGCCCATTCTGCACACACTTCATGCATTAACAAATCATAGGCAATCTCAGATAATCCTGTACAACGTCTGTGAAACCAGAAATTGCAACCAGATTCACATAATATAGCTTGATCATTTGCATGCACTTCTTTATGACAAACACCACAAGGTGATATTGGAGGTGCATTAGGATTTTGATGATTAAAAACCATAGGTTGATCAGGTGGGTAGACTTTGCCCGTTGTTTCCGGTATTGGCTTAGGTCCTAACGATCCTGGTCCTGGTAGGCCATGGGGAGATACTGTATTGCCAACATTTAATCCATGACTAGGTGGTTTCCCAACAGCTATGTTGTTGGAAATATTTCCCATTGGATTACCCATTGATGTTAATTGATTGCGTGGATTTAAATTCACATTGGACATATTACTCATTTGCGGCCTCATCATGTTCATGTTACCCATTTGGTTATTACCAACCATAGAATTTGCTACAGGAGAGTTTATCGGTGCATGTGGCATGTTGTGAGGTCTGTTCAATCCGGGACGAATATTATTCATGTGATTTGGAAGTGATTGCGGAGCACTGTGAGATATTGGTACATTTGGTTGATTCATTGCTGGCACGTTCATTGGATTATTAGGAATATGATTTGGACTCATATTATTTATTGGTGAGCCAATAGGTCCACCCATTGGACTTCCTATGTTATGATTCATTCCATTAATAGGACTGTTCATTCCTGGTCCATTTATTTGCGGGTTTATCATTTGATTCATATTCATATTAATTGATACATTCATCGAAGGTCCAATATTACCTTGTGGCATATTGGGTCGCATGCTGTTCATATGATTCATATTATTCATTGAATTTGGATGATTTGAATTTGGCATACTTCCCATTGGACCCATAGGGTTACCCATTGGTGGATTATTTATTGCATTCATGTTACCCATGTGAGACATAGCCATTGGGTTCATTCCTCTTATTTGTGGATTTCCCATGTGATGTTGTGGATGATGATGCATTTGTTGAGGTCCGTTATGAAGTGCAGGATTCATTCCTTGTGGTGGTGCGTCATCAAATGGATTACTAGCAACAACAATATCACCAAATCCAGATAAAGGCGGTGGTAAGAAATCTTGAATTTGTGGCCTTTGATTAGCTTGTTGTGCATTAGAGTTATTTCTTCTTTTCTTTTTAGGATTGCTGGGTCCTTGTGTGGTCGATGGTGAAGGAGCACCTACGCCTACTCCTAAGCCTAGTCCAATTCCATTCATATCCATATCTTAATTATGCTAAAACTTGCGAAAAAAAAATCAATTGAAAGTTTGTCCAATGGTATGAATCATGAAAGTTATTCTCATTGATTGATAAATTTGAAAGTAGAATATTCTAATATTTACAAATTGAGTTTAATGGAATTGATTGAAGCAAATTGTAACTATAAAAATAATCTTAATCAATACTATAATACTAAATGATACTTGAATTTATATCCTAATTAAATTCCTTTTTATAATAATAGTTAAAATTTACTACAATGCATGCGATTGAAATCACTATAAACTGTAATTCGAATTAATTGAATAATTATTTAAATAATAAATTAAATAATAAATGATGGCAAATGTTTAAGACCAAGTGATTTTCATAGTACTCGTACTATCTTAATAATCAACAAAAAAAATCAACAAATCTATCGTTCGACATCGGACACATAACCTATCGAAACACTGTAAACGGAGCAGTAGTGGGTGTAAAAAAAATCAACACAGCTATCGAGCATCCGAATTTAAAGGCCGATTGGGCTGCAATTGGATTGTATTAGACGCGCGGAAATGGATGTAAACGAAAGTATAAAAAAAAAAGTTGTAATCAAACTGATAAGGGCGCGAGGTCGGAGTTTCGAAAGAAAGTGTTAACGAAAAGAGAAACTTTCCTCACCTGGGCTCTTTCAAACTCAACAACAACGTCCGCTCGCTCTCACAGAGGCAGCGTGGTGCACGTCGAAGAAGCGAGAATCAATTCTGTCGTTCGCTGCTGCCGCATTCTCGCGTGACATTTGCCTCGATTTAATCCAAAATTAAAAAAAAAACAAAACACTGTACTCTTTTGCTCGGGCTTTATAATCTGGCACTCGCACCGATGTGTATACCTACCACAGCACTACATATATACACGTACGATATATACGTATGTACCATGGGTACATACAATAAGCGCGAGAAACGAAGTCGCCGCAGTGTACATACACTTATGTATATCCGAGAGAGGAGCGCGAAGAGACGACACACGACCGTGGGTACAATCGAGTCTTGCGTATTTTATGTGTACATACAGGAGCTGTGTCGCGCGGAGCCGCTTCGGAGCACTCTGCGCGTGCATATAACGAAGTATCACACAATTCGATCGTCTGCGAATCGTTCCTTTTTTTCTCTTCTCTCCGAACGCCCCCGAAAATTCACGCAGCCTCCGCGTGGACTATATACGATACAGCGTTACGGTTGATGGTATTGAGTATCAACAAATTGTAACGAGAAGTCGGAGCGCGCGCGTGTGTCGATCATTGGTTGCGAATACGTGCGTTTTTGTGTTCTTGATATATATAATATATATATGCCACGAGGCCTGTTCTACAGTCGCAGCAAAGATGACGCAGTTGCTAAATGCTGGAGACTCACTGTGTGCCGTGTGGCTGCATCAGGAATTAACTGCGCCGGCGTATTATACCGGCCACCAGAAAATCAGAAATAGACACGCAAGCCATCAAAATAGACACTCGTTTCATAAATTATATTGTGTTTTTTTTTTTTTTTTTTCTAATGATCTTTTATATTCGCTCTCCACGAAATTGAATTGAAAAAGAGTACTTATAATAATGCTAATACACGGAGTATAGGGCTCGCTTTATTGACTTGATTTATTTACCTCTTGCAAGTGACGATAAAATCAAAGTAGATTTTTAGCGGAACTAATAATTCCCAATCGTCATCTCGATCGACGACAGTTGATGACAGTTGACTCTTTGCACTCACAATACGCAATGCACGTTGAAGGTGCGATTTATCACTGCAATATTAAAGCTCGATAGGCAACCCGTGGATGCTGATGAAGATTTTCATCCTGAGCACGTGTTTATTACAGGGGTCCGAAGTGAAAGTGATGATTATCTTTTCGGCTCGATAATTATGAAAAGGATGTTAACGTATCAAAATACGTCCCTATCAGTGAGTATAATATAGATAAATATAAATTTGCATCGTAAAATGTTATTATAAATAAGGTACTGTAAGTTTGAAAGTCACAGCAGCTTTAATTGATATCGTTTTTTTCTAGAATGATTAAGACGTATTGTCAACAGTTCAAATGGTGGCGGCAACCAACCTGCAAAGCTATCAACAACAAACCCGTCGCAAAATGTGGTCAAAGATTACGCTGAAAATGTTGGTCTGAGGCTCGATAAAGAGCTTAATTATCATCCTTATCGTCAATTGACATCTCACGACATCAGAAATTGTCGATATTCAGACCGTGGATCTACTTAAACCGTTGACTTTGTTTTGCCACCTGCAGGATTACGAATTAAGGGGTACTCGCCACCTAGCGGCTGAGGCTGAAGTTGATTATAATTGAATTTTTATGATCCAACGAAAAAACTAAAACAGTATTGAACCAGTCGTTTTTAATCAAAATGTTAAAATTGGAATGAAACATTACATTTGTTTTGTTTACTTTTACATTAAAAGTAATGTAAAAAATAATGAGCTGTTCGTATAGAAAACTACAAATTAATTTTCGACGAAATAACAGACGATAAGTTAAGTCTGGACGAAGGTCTTTTTTGATAGCATATATGCAAAAAAAGTAGATCGTTTCTATATTAACCTTATAATGGGATTAGTAAATATTCTCAGAAAACGTATAAATATATAAGCTTACTTTTATTGTAAAAAGATGTACACTTTTTGGCATTTATATAATGATAAAAAATTGAGTCATGGATAAAATTATCATTTCATCTCCATTTCTCTTCATTTTTGTTAAAAAATCGATAGTAGCGAAATTCTAAATAATATTTCACATCTCTAAGATATGAGAAAAACGTAATTGCGAAGTACGCGTGTTTTACGTAAAGCACCGAAAAGGATGATTATTTTCTTACAACACGCTTCGCAAACTCGACACGCGAAACGAGTATCGCGATCCATCCTCGAGAATATAAATTTATGATAAATCGAAAGCACATCGGTGATTACATATAGCAGTGCGTTATTGCCAAAAAGGAAAATTACAAATCCTACGTGAATTATATATATGTACAAGCCTATATACAGCCTACACACAGGACAAATAAATATCATCGTCGGCGGCTCTGCCTCAGTTGCTGTCCCGATGATTCTTGTATCTAACCCTGTAGACGTCGTCGTCGTCGTCGTCGTCGTCGTCGTCGGTCCTGTGCAGGGGCGCGGGCGAGGTCGGGCAGCTCTTGCTGGACGTCTCCTTGGCCGCAGCCGGATGCAAATCGACGAGCAGACTCTGCCGGCAGAGCATCGACACGGTGTTCATCTTGACGCCGGCTGCCGCACCGCTGCCGCCGCTGCTGCTGTCCTTGTTGGCGCCGCCGCTGCGCTTGAGCTTCGCACGGCGAAATTTGCTGGCTATTCTGCTGAGTGTCCCGGTGACCTCGACCACGCTCGAACTCGTCGTCGTCGTCGTCGTGTTGCCGCCGCTGCTGCTGCTGCTCTTTTCGATCTTGTTAATGGAATGCGTGATATTGTTGTTGTCGTTCGAGGCCGAGGACGCGCTCGACAGTCGCTGATAGGTGCGCGAGTCGACGTTGATCATGCCGGCGCTCGCTGACTTGACGAACTCGCTGTTCGAGCTCGAGGCTGCAGTCGCTGTTGCTGCTGCTGTTGTTGTCTCGGCGTTGTCGTTCATCGTCGTCAACGTGTCGCTGTGGCGATTACGAAAACGAGACTCGACCGTCGTCGTCGTCGTCGTCGCGTTGCTGCTGCTGTTGCTAACGCTGCACAGTGGATAAAAGTTGTTGGGCTCGCGCGAAAAAAAGTCGTCCTTGGCCTGCTTGATGCGTTGAGCTCGGACCCAACGCAACGGCGTCGTCGTCGTCGTCGAGTTCTCGCTCGGGTGGTACAAGCGCTTGTAATTGGCCTGATGATGATGATTATGATCGGTGTCGGTCTGCAGCGAGTATCGTTGATCCCGAGTCAACGACGCCGCAGCTGCTGCGCTAGACAGAGCGTCGAGCTTGTAGATGAGCTCCGGTGATATGTTACCGAGGCTCGTCGCTGCTGCTGCTGCTGCTGCTACTTCGTTGTGGTTGTTGCCGCTTGCCGCGGTGGCCACCTGCACCACGAACTCCGTCGACTGTTGAACGGAACCTTTAGCGGCGTCAACGGCCACGGTATCGTCGATCGCATTTTCCGCCGGCAGCAGCGAGTCGCAGCTACTCTTGATGGGCAAAATCGTGTACTCCTGCGCCAAGCTCTGCTGTATGTTGCTGAAAATTTCCGCGTTCTTCAGGCTGCTCTTTCGCCTCTCCTGATTCGTCATCATCATCCGCTGCTGCTGCTCGTCTTCCTCGTTGCTCATCGTCGTCGTACTGCTGCTCTTCGGAATCTCGGTTACCCGCTGTTGCTGTCGCTGTTGCTGTCGCTGTTGCTGCATCACGACACTGGTACTGGCGCTCTTTTCCACGCCATGACCCGGCCTCGCCGTCGTCGCCGCCGTCGTGCCAGTGGCCAGGGCTCGGCTCACCTCCTCCTGGTACCTCTCCATCTGCTGCCTGACGCGTCGCTCGCTGGTGGGCGAGCGCCAGATCGGCGAGCCGCTGCCGCTGCTCGCCGGACTGCTCGCGTCCTCCTGCAGCTTCTGATTGTAGCGCTGGATCATCTTGCGTATGCTCGGCGCGGGCGCGTCCTTGGGCGAGCTGCGCCGTTGCTGCTGCTGCTGATGATGATGATGATAATCCTTGCGCGCGAGTATCGGCGACTGCGGCAGCGGCGGACGCTTCGTTTGATCCCCGATGCACGGACAGTCGTGGCTGGATTTGCTCTTCTGAATGCTCGACTGCTGCTGGACTACTCCTGGACGAGCTGTCACGGCCGGCGAAGAGTTGGCGGATTTACTATCGCTCGTTGCCGCTACTACCGGCTGCTCTTCTCTCTTAGTTTCGTTTTCAGCTGCTGCTGCTGCTGCTGCTGCTTTGTCCTTGTTGCTGCGCCGACTGAACGGCGAGAAGATGATGCGCTTCGTCTTGACGAAGACGTTCGTCGACTCGGGCTTGACGTCGCCGCCGCCGCCGCTCGCTCGTTCCTTATTGGAGCCGCCGCCGCTGCCGTCGCGTATCCGGCGACGATCGCTGCAATTGTTTTCGCGCAGCGCTGCCGCGGACGAATGTCGCGTCGCGACCACCTCACCACCTCCGTGGCCGTCCTCGGAGCTGGAGATCCTCTCGTTCGAAGCGGTGGGCACGACGATCTTGTTCAGGGTGTCCTCGTTGATGATTATGCGCTCGACGCTCGGCACCTCGGCGAACTTCGAGACCGTGATCGCTGCCCCAGCCGTGTCCTGCTGTGCCTGCTGCTGCTGCTGCTGCTGTTGCTGTTGTTGACGCCATTCGTAGCCGACTTGGGTGTCGGTCAGTCGACGCGTCTTCAAGACCTTCTTCTGGCGCGTATTGTCGTTCACCGTGATCACGACGTCGTCCTCCGTCGCCGCCGCTGCATCGGTCTGATCCTTGTCGGGACGGTATAAGTCGTGTAATTTTCTCGCACCTTCGCTGCTACTGCTGCTGACTTCTAAGTCGACGCGCAAAAAATAAAAATTATCATTTCGAATTTGTTACGGTTTACGCAGTATACCTTTGGTTTCATCAGCCACGTATATGGCGGTGCTCTTCGCGCTCTTCTTCAAGGGCACGTTGTACGAGGTGAAATTATTAGCCCTCGACTTATCCAAGATCTCGGAGTCGCCGTTGACCCGTGGTAGCATTTCATTGATCCGTTGAGAAATCGACCTCTCGCGATCCTTGAAATCTGCCGCCGCTACTGCCCTCGCCGACGTACTTTTCTTGAGAAGCTAAACGGGAACGCATAGATTTTTCGAGTATTACGTAACAACTGTTATGAGAAACAATTTTCATTACTACCTCGTCCAATTTAGCCTCCAAGCTCGTCGCGACGTCGGACTGGCTGCTGGCGGATTCACCGGGCGACGGCGACGGCGGCTGCGGCGGTGGCTTCTTTTTCGCCACCTCATACTCCTCGCCTGGAACAAAAATATTCTAGACTGGACGTTAAAAAATTGAGCGCTGCTGCGTGCGAAAAGGGCACTTACCCGTGGCGGCTACGGAGCTGGCGCAGCAGGCCGCGTCCTCCTCGACGATGGTCTCGTAAACCTTCGTCTCGGTGGTCTTGAATTTTCTGAAATCGTTGTGTATACAAACTATATGAGTAAATAACTTTGAAAGGAAACGCGAACGCGATGACGTTGAACGTGTTTACCTCTTTCGGTTTTCGTCGTGCACCTCGGTGCTGTCATTATTCGACGGCGGCTGCTGCTGCTGCTCGAATTCCTGAACGGCGGCCGCTCTTCCGATCTCGTCGATTTCCATCATCTCCGTTCGCTTCTTGTAACGTCCATGATCTTTCTGGGATAAGAAAAAAAAAAGGCAAAACAAATTATACCCGCCTACTCGAGTCCATATGCATCGTCATCGTTATATTATCTATGATATAATATGGCCGTACGTAATGAGCCTCGCGACGGTCGTCGTCCCGGCGCACGAGTATCAGCGGGCCGGGCTCGTGGCTGGCCGTCACCGTGCCCACGGGCACGGCTATGCTCGTCGTCACGCTGGTCTGCACCGAGTAGACGGGCTGCTGCTGCGGCTGGAACTTGGCCATGGGACTGGCCGTCTCCTCGATCACGTCCTCGATGTCGACGATCACGGCCTCGGGCTCGTCCGAGTCGATTCCCGCCGCCCTCGTCAGCGACAGAAGCTCGTCCACCTGATCCTGATCCACCAGCTCGGTCCGCTTCGATTCGCATCTCTGCGCTCGCTCCAAAATGGCTTTTGCAAAAGGAAAAGGAAAAAAGAAGCGATACACATGGGAATGGAGGTAAAAATTAAACGCTAACTGAAACTTATTATACGGCTGAGATCATTTCACCGCAGAATCGCGGATCAATTCCAAAAAATTTTTGGGGTGTTTTGATGTATACACGGAGAAAATAATACAACAAATATTGTTAGGATTCACAGTAAAAATTACTATTCTAAATAGTAATGAGGTAACATCGATCTATTATCAGGAATTTTGATAATATTAAAACAAATATTCTTAAAGGTATTAAATATTCTAATAAAACTCGGTACAATAATTGCTATAGTGTATAGTAAAAATTTTACTGTAGTAAATTTTATTTTATAGTTACATATTATATGTTAAGAAACATAATACTAAATAATACGATCTTAGCAAATGTTGCTGTACAAGCACGAAAAAGTACACTTTGTATAGCAAAATTTGCTATGCGTACAGTAACTTTTCTTGTGTGAATGAACTTCCAATATCATGGCTAGATGTCGCTTTGCATACCCGCAAGTGGCTAAAATTTGAACCAGCTTACTATATATAGAAGATGAAAACACAATGATCAAGCTTAATAACATGTTATACTATATGAGCGTGCGATTAGTAGTAGTATTAGGTTACTTAGATTAGGTAGGATTAAAATACAGCGAGCGTGCGGTTAGAGTTTGATACGACTAGTCCCGAAAATAATGAAATTTCCAAAATTGTCATTCAAAAAATACGCCTTCAAACCTCCAATGAGATCAAATCAATCGATTAATGAAAAAAAATTTTTATTCTAAATTTCATTAACCCACGGAAAATTTAATACAGTTTATATCAATGATTATTAATCTGTATAAGAAAAGTTACTATTCAAACAAGAAACATTACTACTCATAATATAAAAATTACTGTAATAAATAGGAAATTTTGATAGAATTCAAAACAATAAATTTTTCCTACATTGAATAGTAAAAATTACTAAAATGTGTCGATGTCACCTCTTTACTAGATATTATAGTAATTTTTACTGTGAATTCTAACAATATTTATTATATTTTTTTCTCCGTGTAATAAACAAGTTCCCTATGATTAGTTAGTTTTATTGGGTCTTGATGTCAATATCTACAATTCGTTTTCTCTTTTACTCAATAATTTTTGTGATTGATGTTTCAACTCGGAAAAAAACGTCCGAGAATGAAAAACCTTATAATTAGTCAAAGAATCACTTGAATCCAGAGGTCAAAATTTGACGAGTTTCTTACGGACTTCATACACGATCTCTAAAAATCTTCTCTTAATTTCTTATTTTTGTTTCCTCTTACAAGTGACGACACTTGTAAGAGGAATTGTTTTGTTTACTTTTACATTAAAAGTAATGTAAAAAATAATGAGCTGTTCATATAGAAAACTACAAATTAATTTTCGACGAAATAACAGACGCTAAGTTAAGTCTGGACGAAGGTCTTTTTTAATAGCATATATGTCAAAAAAGTAGATTATTTCTATATTAACGTTATAACGGGATTTGTAAATATTCTCAGAATATGTATAAATATGTAAGCTTACTTTTATTGTAAAAAGATGTACACTTTTTTACATTTATATGATGATAAAAAATTAAGTCGCGGATAATATTATCATTTCAGCTACATTTCTCTTCGTTTCTCTAAAAATCTGAACCGATTCAGACATATTTTTGACTCATTTGAATCATTTTTTTTCTTCAAAATATTCCTTATTTATTTAGAAAGCCACAATGGTTTGTGAATAAAATAGAAAACGATTTCTAAAATAGACTTCGAAGTCCAATAGAACCAACTAAGCTTAAGGAATTTTCTTAATACGTACCCGGGAACCCCAAAAAAATGTTTGGAAAAGACCTGTGATTCGGAGGGTCAGGGAAGATCTCCATCGCAAGTATTATTCTTTTTTTTTTGGTACCTGGTTTCTCTAGATTCGTCAGATCGGTCAAGGACACGCACGACGCCTGTCGATTGGCCGCCTCCTCGCGCGAATCTTTCTCCGTCACGCTGCTCATGGATTTGGAACGCTTCAAAACCGCCGGGTGATTTTTGTCTGTGAAGCAGAGGAAAACGAATGTAATCGAGTTGCGAAAAATCTGAGGCTCGATAACGAATGTATCTAGAACCCGGCGCACATTTGAAGCTCAGGCTCTCGTCGCACGAGTAGGTCTTCTGTATGGGATCGAGCAGCTGGAGCGTCGAGGACTCGGGCGCGATGCCCCGACTCCTCTCCCACTCGAATATCTTCTTCTTGAACTCCTGCGAGATGCCCTGGAACTTGAGGTAGCTGCCCGTCGACGTTTGAACCAGGATCTCTTTCTTGACGTTGTTGCTGTTGGCCGCCAGACGCCGCGATCTCAGCTCTCTTTGCCTAATTTCGAAGTGAAAATATTACTCGAAAAAAAAAGCTCGAACGACGATTAATAATAACAGCGATGACGATGTAATCACCTTGACTTTTCCCGCTGCTTTTCCCTCTGCTTTTCCATTCTCGCCTGTTCGAGCTCCAACGAGCGGATGAATTTGTCGAGAGGCTGAAATTCCTCCTCCTCGATCGTGCTCCATCCTTGATCTCGAAAGTTGGCTCGAGGTGGCGTCGCGTCGCTCGATCGACGCGGCTGCTGATGCTTTTGTTTACCGCCACTTTGTTCCTCGAAGTCCGAGCGGCCGGACTTGATTTTTTTCCACTCCTCCATCTTCTTCAGAAATTCTTCCGACACGCCCGTCTTACCTGCAGCACACATCATCACGTTTATTTTCGAGTCAATTTCTTTTGTGCTTGAAAATTCATCGATCGTAATTAAAACGAAAAAGAGAATTGTATTTCACGCGATCCCGGAAAATCGCGGCTCTTTTACTTTCGACAAACAATGCAAAATTCGAGTTCACGTTCTCGTATTCTTTTCGAACGGCCGTTATTATATAGCATTTATTTACGGAGTGTTCAATTTACCGCGAAGGATAAAAATAACTCGTATACGTCAATCAGTTTTTACGTTCCTCAATATCGAAAAATATCGCAAGCTCGGTTGCTCGGAGAGTCAGAGCTTCATCTGTTGTTCAAGCTCGCCGCGGAAGAAAAAAAATAATCATGATAATAATTTTAAATCGCGTCGAGTGTGTATAATATACGTGTAATGATGCCTGCGCATTATCGTTTAAAATTTCTTTAAATAGATTGAAACTCGCGGAATAAACGCACAATACTTCTGGTCATTGTGACTTATTGTATACATTGGCGTCAGAAGTGCCAGTTTAGCTATTTTGTGGAATTTTGTTCGAGTTTCACGTCTAACTGCGGTCAACAGCTGATCATTGATTTTAAAAATAAATTGCGTTCTTTAAATAATGATAAATTTTAAATGAGTTTAAAGTTACATTTAAAAATTATATTTGCTCGTGCACTGAAATCACAATTTTTTTAGCGGATCCATTAATTTTATATTATTTTGATTGATTAATTTAGTCAGTAGGCACAGAGGGTAGATAAAATAAGAATAAAAACAATTCTAAACAAATTAATGATTCAATTTTGATTTAATTGATTTATTTGACATTAACATTGAAAATAAACAAAATTCAATAACATCAGACATTAAATAATAATTGACATAAAAAAAGTAGATATTGAAAATATGCTTATTGCCATCACAATTTTTGGACTGCAACCGCTAAGCAAATATTCAACAGATCCTTGAACGTTAGCTTCTCAATGATTATTTCGCAGCAAACAATTGGCAATTGGTTGCTCGTCAGCTCCAAGAAAGGATCTAGTGTCGATCGTTGGAAAAATCGTCGGAATAGTTGCTCGTACAGATGCACAACACAGGCCACAGCGCTCTTTTCAGGGAGGCGCCAATAAGTAATCTTCTGCACGAATTTGTAGTAATCAGTATACGTGAATAATTTTTCCGCATCTTCGGGTTGAAAGCGGACCAGGTCGTATAGCGACAGATCCGAACGCATCATTTGCTTTTTTGCAATTCTCGCGAAGTCATTGTCTTCATACCAGCACTTATCAAGATCCACTGAATGCTCGAAAAATCCGTGCTTGGCGAAAAATTTCATGATTGTAAGGACATCGCTTCGGTCCACTTCGTATCCTTTCATCTTTAAACGCTCGACCACGGCCAGAGCACCAGTCGCTTGATGCAAATAATTCTTACCATACAAATTATTTCTACATTCAGCGAAAACAAGAAAAGAATCATTTCTCGAGCTAAATCTATCACCAAAGTAACTGTCAGCGGGGAAAACAAAGCATGACAGATCAGCACCGTGATTCAGGAGTTCATCTACCACATCCGGCAAAAAATTCGCCACAGCCCACTGAAGTGGCGTCCGGCCCAACTTGTCCTTAGCGTCGATCTGCACCAGCTGACGATTTTCCAAATTTATCTTGAAGAATAATTTCGTCAATTCGACATAATTCTGATCAGTATAATAAGATTTACTTTTGCAAATAATGTGCAACGGTGTCGATCCTTCCTCGTTGGCCAAGTTCAGACTGGCGCCTTTTTCCAAAAGCGATTCGACCAACTCCTTTTTAACGCAGCCCAAAACCATGTATCCCGACGTGTCACCCGACTTCGAGCCCAGGGCCACGTGCAATGGGGTATCTCCAGATTTGTCTTGAACATCGAAGTACACTGGATGACATTCAACATTAGTCATGAATAACTCGAATAAATTTTTAATTATGTTATCATAGTCTTCGATGCTGCATATAATGTGCAAGGGAGTCAATCCGTCGTTGTTGGTTAAGTTGGGATCGGCGCCATTTCTCAGCAGTACTTCGATAAGCGCATTTCTATCACGATCATGCACAAATTTCAGAACCAAATGTAGAGGCGAATCACCTGTTTCTGGCACGAGGCAATTGGGATCCTGCCCAAACTCGAGGAACTTTTCGATGACATCTTTAGAGCCTCTCTTGCAGGCCGCATGAAAATGCGTAAACCCAGATTCGTCAATGTAATTTATGTCAAACCTGTTGTATATTTTAAAAAGAATACGGACTAAGCCCAAGCAACCCTTTTGTCTAGCCGCAAAATGCACAGCAGTAAAACGACGCAACACTGGCTGGCCGTCCTTGTCGACGTCGGGCTCGTCCTTGAAGCCGCTTCGAGCCATAAAATCGACCAATTGATCCACTTGATAATTATCGTCGTGAAAATACCAGTGGTCTATGGCACCGATGAGAATATTGTCAATTTCCTCATTCAGAAAAATGTCCCGAAGATCAGGAAGTTTCCCATTCCAATCTCTATTTACTAAGAAACAGTACAGTTGATTGAGAAATTTTTTCCACTCTTCTTCAATCCCCCAATTAACCTCTTCTCGCATCGTTTTTAATGTTTTTAAAATTTCTAGATTGCTTTGGGCCATCGTTTAGCACTGCACTCACAACACAATACACGGTCACAAATGATTTAAGATACCTTATTGATTTCACTTTTGTTTTTGACGAGAATCACTCGCTGCGAGGCCAATGCGATATTTCTTTGTTAGCGCTGCGATGTCTTGACGTATGTACTGTGTCTGTGTGTGGTCCTTCGACTGAGCAACTCGCACGAAACTGGCACTATACATGGAACACGAGCTTGAGCGCGAGCGAACGACGCATATTGACGCAGCGGCATTCCCAGAGAGGAGAGAGAAAGAGACGTCGCACAAAGGCCTGCAGCGCCGAGCTTACATTCGCTGCGGTCAGCGGTATAGAATCGAGCTAGCAGAATGCTAACAAATAAAGACTTGATACTCTTCGTGGATGGAGCACTGCGTGGCGGCAGGGCTGACTGCACGAGCCAGCGCCCTACTCGTCTTGTATCAACTAAAGGTAACGATTACAAAGAAAAAAAAATGGAAATAATATGAAAAAACAAAACGAAATTAATTAACATCATACATCGAAAAATACTGAAAATATGCTCATCGCTATCACAAATATGGGTCCGTAGCCGCCAAAAAAACATTCAACAAATCTTCGTTCATTAGATTATCCAAGATCATGTCGCAGCTAAGAATCGACAATCGACGGCGAGTCAGCTCCATCAGAGGATAAAGTGTCCAACGCCGTAAAAATCCTCTCGATCGCATCTCGCACAGGTACGCGAGGCAAACCACCTCGTGCTCTTCCGGGAGCTGCCGCGACGTCATCGAGTCCGCGAACTCGTAGTAGTCCTCGTGCGCGAGTAATTTCGCTGCTTCCGTGGGTGGCAACTTTATCAGGTCGTGGATCGATAGGCTCGGTTTTATCTTCAATTCTTTCGCTCTCTTCGCGAACTCCTCGTCGTCGTACCAACATTTCTCGAGATCCACCGACGTCTTGAACACTTCGTACTTGTCGAACATCTCCGCTATCATCAGGGCGCCGCAGCGGTCCAGCTCGTATCCTCCTCTCTTCTCGAGGCGCTCGACGACGATCAGAGCGTCGAGCACCAGACTAAATCGAGAGTAATACCGCGACGACGCTCGATCAGCGTGGCGCCGTCTCTCGAGCAATCCGTCGCCGAAATATCTCGTGTAGGGAAAAACGAAGTCGGTCGCTTTGGCGCCACGATCCAGGAGCGCCTCGACGACGTTCGGCAGCAGACTCGCCGCGGCCAATTGCAGCGGCGTCCAGCCCCACTTGTTCCGTGCGTCGATCCGAACCTCCCGCTGAATCTCGTCGCTTATCTTGAAAAACAATTCCACCAGGTCGTCGTCGGCGTCTCGGTTGCAGACGACGTGCAGCGGCGTCTCTCGGCTCTCGTTGGCTAAATTTGGGCTGGCGTTATTTCGCAGCAGGCATTCGACCGAGTCGCGGTGGCCACGACGCAGGGCGTAGTGCAGCGCTGTGTTACCCTCGTTGTCTCGCGCGTCGACGAGCACCGGCGGTCGATGACTCTCTTTGCCGAGCTCCAACAGCATCCTCAGCGAGTCCGCGTCGCCTCTCTCGCAAACAACGTGCAGAGCAGTCGAGCCTCTGTGGTTGGCCAAATTCGGATCAGCGGCGCCGTTCGTCAGCAGCCATTCGGCCACCTTCTTGTGGCCGCGCTCGAGAGCCAGGTGCAACGGTGCGTCGCCCGAGTCGTTTTGGGCGTCGACGTCCGGCACCGTCCGCTGCATCTTGTCGTTGACGTAGTCGAAGAACACGTTCAAGAAAGCAGCCGCCGACTCGTCGTCGGGGCCCCTCGCGCAGATACTGTGCAGCGGAGTCCATCCATCATCGGGCAGCGCCGCGTTAGGATCGGCGCCGTTCTTCAGCAGCAGCTCGGCCACCTTGTAGCGACGACGGTCCAGAGCCAAGAGTAGCAACGAGTCGCCCGTCTCTGCCCAAACGAGATTGGGATCCTGGCCGAGCTTGAGAAATTTCTCGGCCACGTCGTCGCAGCCGGACATGCAGGCCACGTGGAAGTGCGTCAGGCCCGTGTCGTCGCCGTAGTTCGCGTCGAATCTGTCGTAAATCTTGAACAGCTCGCGGATCACGCCGTCTCTGTTGGGAAGCGCGACGACTTTGGCCGCGCGATGTATCGGTGTGGCGCGACGACACAGCGGCTTGCTGTCTCGGCCGTCGACGTCGGGCTCGTCCCTGTAGCCGCTGCGAGCCACGAATTTGACGAATCTCTCTCCCGGATGATCCACGTCGTAGCTACTGCCTCGGTAATTCGTAGCTTCCCAGAGAAGACCGTCGATCTCTTGCCTCAGAAAGACGTCGCGGAGATTCGGAAGTTTGCCCCGCCACGCGCCGAGCAGGTCGTTGAGTCGACGCACGAGCTCGGCTCGCTCGTCCTCGATCCACCAATTGATCTCTTCTCGCATGGCTTTCATCCTCGTCAAGCTGTCTAGATTGTTTAGGGCCATGGTCGTTGCACTGCACTCGATGCACGAAATACACACTGTCGCCGCAATGATTTATGGCCGTAAAGCGTACCGACTATTATCATACAGTGCGCGACTCTACGATCATCTGTGTGAAAAATGTAAACACGCGCGCGAGCCTGTATAAAAGATACTAAATGCAGTTGGGTCTTTCTGCTACTGTCCTCGTAGCGGGGAGGCATGTCTTGCAACGAGTGCGATAGAGACAGCTCCGATTAGTACAGTGTGACACTTAGATCCGACGCGCGGGAAAAACGTAAACATATATGACAAAGTCGGGACTCTGTCCCATGCTAGCCCGTGTACTATTGTCACTATTGTCGTACACATCTTGTACACGCACGCAGGCGCGCCGTTATATTTCGCTGATTTTTTTTCATTTCATCTCATGCGTTTTTGTATACACATAAATCTTCGCTCGACCATTCCGACGAATGCGAGCACGATTTAAAAAAAACGTTATTAAAACATCTTACCGATCTCGCTGTACGAGGCAGCCGGCTCCCTGCTGTTGTTGTCGCCGCCGCTGGACGAGCTCTTGCCGTTGGTCCGCCAGATCTGCCAGTCGCTCAGCCGCTTGCGAAACAGCTGATTGTCCGGCGAGCTGGTCGTCGCCGCGCCGCCGCCACCCTGCGTCGTCGTCGACGTCGTCCCCTTCTTCATGCGCTTCCACTCCTGCAGCTTCTTCTTGAACTCGGGGGTCAGTTGCTCCTCGCCCATCAGCAGCATGTTGGCCGAGTCCTTGTCCCTGGGCGAGGTCGTGCCCACGCTCCGACTGCTGCCGCATTGCTGCTGCTGCTGATGCTTCTGCTGCTGGAGTCTGTTCCACTCGACTATCTTGCGATTGAACTCGACGCTGAGCTTGTCGTGGAGTATCTGCGCGTTGCGCTGGATGTCCGTCTGGACGTGGGTGGGACTGGCGCCGCCGCCCGAGCAGCCGTAATTGTTGTTGTCCAGGTCCTCGGCCGAGGCCGAGTAGCCGCCACCGCCGTCGGTTTCTAAGCAGTAATAATGGATTTTTCTTAATTTTGATCGGTTGATTTCAATGATTCGTTCGGTAATATCGAAATGTAATCACTGTTGAAAAAAAAATATAATTTAAGGCGGATTTAATGTAAAATTAGAAATTAAAATTAAAGTGATCTTCAGTGAATGTTAGGTACTTTCATATGAAATCATAGCCGAAAATTAATGCTTCAATTGCGATTGAGTTTTTGCGTTAGTTGTACAAAAAAATCACGGGAATCATAATTAAAGCCAGTATGCTAGATGGCGAGCATCCCATAATTCGTTAACCTGCAAGTGACAAAGTGAAAATTTATATATATATATTTTCGCGGCCATTCCTCGAAGTAGTACCTCCCCTTTTTCTTGGTTTCATCCTAGGGCCGTGGGCTTAATTTAATCAACAAACAGATGAAACCCATCGTTCAATTTTTTTGGTTTCGAAATTCGAAATGATGTCAATGAATTTTCAGACCGTAGAATATTACAAGCTGTGACTGGAAGGGGTACGTAGTAATTTCTGATTTTCAAAATAAAGAAGATCAAACAGAAACGAAATCAGAAAGTGTCGAAAATGGGCGTCGACAAATTTAAGCATTTCTCGTTCAAGTCTAATTTTTTATCAATGCTGTATATGGGCTATATCGCATCAACTGTCGCCCCCCCCCTTGGATCAGAGTTGTAATTTGATTTTCCATATTTTATTCTGCTTTCCAAGAGTGAATACGAAAAAATGATTAAAACGTGATTTTATATGTAAAATTTGATGAGGAATTCAAATTTGATGTCAAAAATCATGCTCATAAACTCCAAGTACCTTAATTTCTAAATTTCGGCTTCAGTGGCAAAAATAAACATGTTCGTATCCAGCGATATGGACAATATTGTAATATGTTCATCGATACACCAAAATACAACTTCTGATAAATTTTGGTAATTGGCAGACGAGCAGAATTCATTATTGACCTTCATATGTGTCAAAAAACATGGTTTTTCTCTAGATTTTCTCTATTCTTGACTCATATCATGTTCAATAATGAATTCTGTTTGTCTGCCAATTACCAAAATTTATCAGAAGTTGTATTTTGGTGTATCGATGAACATATTACAATATTGGCCATATCGCTGGATACGAACATGTTTATTTTTGCCCCTGAAGCTGTTTTTTGGGAATTAAGGTACTTGGAGTTTATGAATATGATTTTTGACATCAAATTTGAATTGCCCATCCAATTTTATATAAAAAATCATGTTTCAATCATTTTTTCATATTCACTCTTGGAAAGCAGAATAAAATATGAAAAATCAAAACAAAAAGAGGGGGGACAGTTGACGCGATTTAAGCCCATATATATAAGCATCACTGAAAATTCGCTCACTTATCAATTGTAACTCATTTTAATGCGTTGTCAATGAAGCACTCTTTCTCAAATTTAGTTAGTAGTTAATAATACTTAAAACTTAAAAATTATTAGAAATTCATAAAAAAAATCATTAGATTTAATTCGAATATTACATCGATTTTCATGATTTTACTCGAAATCGAATTCACCTCCACTTTTACATCGAGCAATAACGTAAATATTTTCTACGATCTGCAATGGCATTCGCGCGATGCAAAGTGTATTATAGGCCCTATATACTTGAGCGCGATTGCAGTATTGAAACGTCAGCGAGCGCTCGCGTAATCATTTTAAAGCTCATAAATCAAGTAGCAGCAGCTTTTATTGCGCAAAATAGTCTTAAAGACACTGCGCGCTCTCTCTCTCTGGCGCTCTCATTGTCAACTGTCGAGCTGACGCATCGAATGGATGCGCATATTAAGTAATGTGTTTTTCCTTTCTCGAGGGCACGAAAAGTGTATAGCACACAGAGTACGGAGCTGCATTCCGCGTGCACACACGCACACGCGCGCTTCAGTCCACGTCTTTCCACGAAATCTCGAAAGCCAGAGAGAGCTCAAGAGTCGTAAACGCGCGTGGCTAATTTAACGAACTCGCGTATATATATATTATGAAAGGCTAGTGCGGCTGCCAGACACGCCGCGCTTGTGTCCGAGCTTTATCGTACACTCGAAGCTCCAAAAAGCTCGTATATAATAAAAACATTACATTTCCGTGCGCCGAGAGCAGTTATAAACAATATATCGAGCCGAGCGATGTGCGTATTTAGTCGTCGATCGTTATCGACCTGCACCGCCTTTGATCCTCGTTCTCGCTGACTTTTGGCTTTTGTATTCAACGCGATCTTCGAGTGTCTTGCATTATTATCGTAAGAAATCGTAGAAAGATGGACGTACTCGATTTATTATCGCTCAACTCGATATTTTTTTTTTCAACGAAACATCTCGGACTGCGCGTACATCAACCGAGCGAGCTTGCAGCGATCGTATGATCGGAAAAGAAGAAAAAGAGAGCGAAAAAGAATAACAACGCTTCTTTAGTATTATACGCCCCGCATCCGTGCTCGTGTATGCGTAATACGATATTTTCTCGCGCGCGCGGCTTTAATACAATAATATACATTGTGTTTGTTTTGGCGGCGGCCAACTGAACGCTGTGGCGGGGCGTGTGCGAAACAGTCGCTTGTCGCGATCGATCACGCGCGCGCGCGAGGTGATAAATCGATCGTCGCGTCACCGGCTACTCACGCGCACCGCGACAACAACGATGTGAGGTTATCTCGCGCGGCGACTTATATACCAAAAAAGCTCCCAAAAAGAAGAAAAAAAACCAACGCCATTATTTCGGAATAATAAAGATGCTGTCGCGGTGCTCGAAATTCTTGTTATCCACGTCATCGTCGAAAAATCTTCTCGTCGTCAATGGCATCAATAGCAGTAACAATAACAACGATGCCTGGGCCGGTCGGCTTCTGCGAGGCGTCCTGTTCAGCAGCTCGCCCCGCGTGGCAGCCGTCAAGGGCGTGCTCTGTCCCCGGCCGCAGGAGACCATCAACACGCTGGGCAAGAAGTTCTGCAAGTTCAAGGAGGCGGCGAGCAAGTGTCCGCAGTCGGCGAAGCTCGAGTGCAAGCCCGATCCCTGCCCGAATCGACCGGTAAAGATGACAAAAAAACTAACGATATCCCTTCGAGGCTGTAAAAAAAGCTCCGCGCCTCCGCAAGCTCCAGTTCCGATTCGGGTTAAATCCGTCTCTCTCGGACAGAGAGATAATTAACGCGCGCGTATGTACGTACACGGATTCGATTGGCCGAGGCGATAAATGAATCACGCGTGTATACCTTATACGCGGCGTATATCGCGCGGAGCTTTCAACGCGTGCCCGCCTCGTGTACTATTATGATGATGTATAGCGTCGAAGCAGCTGCGTCGACGACGACGGCGCGAGGGGCCACAGTCGTTTTAGCCCGTATAAAAGAGTCCAGTGTACGACTTTATTCGACCGATTTCCGCGCGCGCTATAACACGCACACCGACTTTACGAGGGCAACGGCCCCTCGGCGCGCTTAGCTATACGCGATCGAATCAAAAGTTAATTTTTGGATCGTAGTGCGAGAACGAGGTGAAGAATCCGGCCGAGGCCTTCAGACGGGCCATGGAGGACGTGCGCTGCAAGGCCAAGAGCCTGAACGACTTCGTGGCGAGCGAGAGCCAGAAGATAATCGGCGATCTGGACGCGCGGATGATCGACATGAGCAAGGCCCAGCTGGCGGCCAGGAGCAAGCACCTCGCCGAGCTGGAGCAGAGGGTCGACGAGCTGGAGAAGCTGAGCCTGGTGTGCGGTCGCGAGCGAAGAAAGGAGGCCTACTCGATCGGCCTGAGAATCAACGAAAAGCTCCAGGTACCGTTATACGGAAATTTTCGCGCTTGGCAGCCGATCGAGGAATAATCCCCGTTTATTCGTTCACTCGCGCAGACGTGGGAGTGCGAGAACGCGGCCGGCCGGCTGGCCGTGAACAGGCGCCTCGCCGAGCTCGCGGACTGCGTGCACGAGCGCACCAACACCCTGGTGAGGCTGGTGCAGACGTGCCGGGGCAGCCGCAGCGGCCGAGACATGCTCGCGTGCATCGCCGAGGCGCACAAGCAGGCCGCCTGCATCTACGATCACGCGCAGCATCACGCGCGCGAAGAGATCAAACACACCGAGGCGATGAAGGCCCGGGCGCTCGACGAGAATCTCGCCGAGGCCGAGAAATTCATGAGGCGGTTCGAGGTGCGGGCGCGCGACTTTTTGAAGCGGCTGGACATGGATGGGCAGGAGTTGCAGAGATCGTGCAGCAAGAAGGAGAGGGAGGAGAGCGGCAGCCAACGGAAAACGGATTGATCGATTCGATCGTTGCTGCTCACCGTCGAAGAAGGAGGAGATGCGGCTGGGACTGGGCGGCACCGAGGACGCGCCCGACAGAAAGGCCCGCTTGACTTTGTTCCACTTGGAGTCGTGGCGCTGGAGATGCTGCTGCTGCTGCTGCTGCTGCGGCTTCGACGACGAGTTACCTCCGCCATCGATGCCTGCCGACGACAACGACGTCGGGAACATCGTTATCAGAGACTTTCGCCTCGTCGGAATGGCGACGCCGTAGCGATGACGATTGCACGGCTGTCGCTTGGGCGCCGACGAGGTCGAGTCCGGGTCCTCCGAGGGCGATCTCTCGGAGGCGTCGGTCGCCGAGTTCGAGTGCTGACGATGACGACGATGATGAAACGACCGCGAAGTCCTCGGCGAGGTGGACTCGGGCGACGAGACGCTGCGCAGCTCCTCGCTGGACGGCAGAGTGAGGGTGAGGGTCGGGGTGAGACGTCGCGAGCTCGGCTCGAGATCGACCTCGGCCACGGGGCTCGCCGGTTTGCTCGTCTGCGACGCCGACGAGGACGGCACCTCCAAACAGATACTCGTCGCGTTGGTGGTGGTCTGCGATCGCGACACCTGCTGCTGCTGCTGCTTCAGATTCTGATCGGAGCCCACCGTCTGTGGATGAAAAGCAAAAGAAGCAACGATCGTTACTACAGGCATACTGTGTGTCGTGATCGGCGATTGGGTCGACCTAACTTCGTTCAATATTTCCGACGACTCGAGGCTGGAGATCGAGTAGCCGTCCTCGCTGTTTCGAGGACCAAGCCGATGCTGCGACTGCTGCGGCGGAATCGGTCGTCGGTAGCTTTCCTTGCGCGACTGAATGATCTCCTTGACCTTGCCCCAGGCCGTTCTGCGGCTCGGGTCCGAGCGTCTGCAGAGCATACTGTCCTGCGCGTACACAACACGACAAAATCCATCAAGTTCATCGCTGACACGAATAAAAAGCTCGTTTGCACAAAAAAAAAGTTTGATTTTTTTTTCTTTTACCCTGGACAGTTGCGCGATGCCGTGTCTCGCCGAGGGTACGACGAATTCGCCGTCGTACGAGGCACCGCTGCATCGCCGCAGATGCTGCTGAACCGCGATCGTCTCTCGTATACCAGGACTCTTGCTGCTTTTCCTCTCGCGCAGACCTATTTTTAAATCGTTCATTTTTACCGTCAACTATTTTCAAATTATGTACGTTATTATCATTGTTTTACAGCAGTCAAAGACAGCCGGCTGACAGAAAATCGTCACGCGTGTTAACGTAGAGTGAAATTAAAATTACCCCCGAAAAAAAAAAAATGAAAATTCTTTCGACATACATAAAAAGCTCTCGTGCAGCATTAAATGTCTTACGCGTGCGCCTGTGCGTATTATAATTATTATGGTTGTAATAAACGCGTTGCTGCCGCTGGCACGAGCGTATACGATAAATCGTTCTTTCTTTTCTTTTACATCTTTTTTTTTCTCTGCTCACTCGCGTGCCAGAGGCCCTCGCGCTCGCGATTGTTTGCACAATCGAGTCGAGAGAGAGAGTGCTGATAGAAAAACGTTTCAACAAATCGCGGAAAACAAATCTCCCGACTCGTTTCAATGCCAAATCTTGCGCGTTTTTCACTGTCTCTCTGTTTTAACGAACGGTTTTTTTTTCACGGATATACGAAAATGTTATTTCAACGAAGGTTTACATACCGCGAGTTATTTTTTTTTCCATCGCAGGATATTTCGGCGATCATAGGGTTGTCATAGTGCTGCGAGCTTTTAACATTCGTATAACACACGCACACGCATTTAACGACTGTCGTTTCAACCGAGAAAAAAATAATCGTAATATTTGTGTAAAGTAGCTTCGCGCGCTCGGCACTGTAATAAATTTTTTGCAGCCCGGTAATTTCGTCTTAAATTTTCTAGATGTATAGAGAGCTTTTCTAAAATACGAAGTATTTTCGAGTACGTCATGAGTATGGAACGTGACTCGATGTTTCTCGCACTTTTAAAAAAAATATCAAGAAGAACTCGTTAAAATAATCATTTCGGATTAAAACGATCTAACGGAAGATACGCGTAAAACTCGTAAAACCCCGAGCCGCTGACTCTCTTTCCGCGTATAATTCTCTCGGTATCGAAAAAGACCTCGATCGTACAGAAAATATGAATTTGAGAAAAAAAAAAAAAAGAAATACTGACTGTCAAAAATATCGTCGATGGAGGACGAGGACGATATGCTGCCGGGACTCGGCGGTCCCGAGTGCTCGTAAGTCCTCGGCGACGAGCCCGAATTCGGCGTAGTCGTCGCCGTCGTCGTCGCGGCGGTCGTCGCGACGTTGTCGATCTGCAGCCCCGTTGCGGTCGTTGTCTCGGGCGGCTTCAGACGATTCTGCTGCTGCTGCAGCTGTCGCTGGGCCGCCTCGCGCTCGATGGCCTCGAAGACGATGCTGCTGAAGCTCTGCGGCGGCTGCGCGGCTACACCCATGTTGGCCTTCTCCCATTTGAAGGCGGCCTTGACCTTGGTCCACTTGCTGACCTTGGGCCCGGTGGAGCCAGGGCTAAATGTGCCGACGATGGGCCCGACGATGGAGTTGCGCTTGCCGCTCTTGCCACCGTAGTAGGGCCCGCCGCCGCCGCCGCCGCACTGTATCTGACAGCTGGAGCGCTTGTTGCCGTTGTGATTGGCGAGGCCGAGAGCGGGCTGCACCTCGCCGATCGAGCGGCTGCGCTGGCGCAGCACCGGACTGCGAAAGCTCTTGGCGCGCGAGACGACGACGTTGTTGCCGAGCTGCTCCTGACTCGAGAGCGACGTGGGCCAAACCGCTGCCATGACGGACGGCGACGGGGCCGAAGACTCGTGCGAATGCTGCTGCTGCTGCTGTTGCTGCTGCTGATGATGACTCGACGAAGACGACTGCTCGAGAATCGAGCTTATGACGGACGATTGAAAATTCAATTGCTCGTCGGTGGCGTAATCGGGCTCGGGCTCGTTCGCGTCATCGTACGTTACCTCGGCCTCGCACCGCGCCAGGTAATACTCGATCAGCCGGGCGACCTTGCAGCGCTCGAGCTCGCGCACCCGCTGGAACAGCCGAGCGTTGCCGTCGCGCAGCTCGAGCATCTGCTCGCACAGCGAGTGCCACTCGGCGAGCTGCTGGAACGCGGACTCGAGGCCATCGGGGCGCTGACTTTCGCTCGCGTCGACGACGACCTCGAGGGATTTGCGTCGCTTCTCGAGCGCCCGAGGATCCGGTGGCGGAGTCGGTAGCCTCTCGGGCGTCGAGGGGCCGGCCTCGAAGCGACGCTTGCGCTTGCGAACTCGCCCGTTGTCGTTAACGTTGTTGCCGTTGTTGGTGTTGCGCGTGCTCTTGCCGTTTCTCGATCGTCGATCAATTTTATCGTTGATCTTTCTAACGTTATCGTTATTATTATTATTATTATTATTACTGCTACACTGTTTACTGGACTTGATCGCGGTCGACGCGCGGTCCGATCGTTCGTTGATCTCGGCGCCGCGGCTTTTTTCGTCGGCCATTACACTTGTAAAACGATCCGCACGCTCGCTGCATACACATACGCGCGATTGCACTTGACACTTGCTTCTTCTTTTCTCTTCGTGCCCCAAAAATTTCACTTTCACGCTACTGCGCCTATTCACTATTGATTATGTACACGCTTATATCTATATAACGTCACTGTGTAATACTATCCGAGTGCCATCTCGAAAAGCACTGCGCGGATTTTATTTTTAATGGCTCTCGCTACGTCGAATCAATTTCTTCTTCTTCTTCTTCTTTTTTTTTCGGGGAATTCCGCGAGTTTTTTTTTATAATAATACTGCACACTGGACCGGATAGACGACACACTGTACACAACACGTTTATGTCTCTCGGCCGGCGAATCACTTTTTCACGCCCGCCGCCGGTGTCGGCGCGCAAGCTCGCCCGCGCGGGTTTAATAGACAGCGCCGGCTAGGCTTTCTCCTATTTGTCTACTCCGAGCTTTGAAACGCGCGTTACGCGTGCGACGATGTTACGTTTGAACAGGCCCTACAGCAGCAGCACCACAGCGCATACGAGATCGAGTCGGTGTGCGTGTGTGTGTGTGTGTGTGCGTGTGTACCGCTGCGACGATTTCCGGCTGCTACGCTACTTTATGGGCGCGCGGTTTTATTTTCGGCCCCGCCGTTGCTGCTGCTGCTACCGGCATGTTTCGCGTCGCTGCTCCGTCGCCTCGAGAATAAGAGAGACCAGTGTGTGTATGGTATTATGGTCTGCGTGCGAAACGCGCATACGCACGTATCTCGTGCGCGTACGTACGCGAATTTATATGCGCCTCGTCGGGCGATCGTCGTCGTACTGAAAAAGCTCGCGCACTCGCCGATCGGCGCAGCAGCGACTCGAGCTTTCGCCTCGCGCGCGTCTCGTGTGCAACTACCGAGCGCAGCGAGTTCGGTCTGCTGGTAGTAGTAACACGCTGTATCGTATTATATATATAAACTCGGGCGCGCGCGCTGCAATGCCGATCTCGCGCATATACGTATATGCGCACAAGCACGATGACTTTGCGAGTATATAATTCGTTTATATACACACACCGCGGATCGATTAAATTTGGAAAGAGCCGCGCATTGTTCGCCGCACTGTTTATCCAACTCCACGCCCCCCACTATATATCGTTTGTGCAAAGAGCGAGGGAAATTTTTCGCTTCTTTTCATTCTTTTTCTTTTTTTTTTTTGCTTCTTTTTCTTTCGCTTTTACCGATTCTCGGAGTTCGCTCGACGTTGAGTAGTTCCGCGTGCGCGCGCGCGGGCTATTTATGCCGTGACGAATACTCGCGAGAGCAGCGACTAACGTTTTCGGCGCTTCTTCTCGCAGAGCTTTTGTATATATATACACGCCGAGCCGGAAAACTGCGCTTGGACGAAACGCGTTGAATGCGCGTCGAGTGAAAAATAATTCAACGTGACCTTAAGAGCCATCACAGCCAACGGGTACTTGAACGAAGCAACAAAAAAAAGAAGAATAAAAAAGAAAAGAGACGAGAGAGAAAGAGAGAGAGAGCTATTCTATTCTCGTTCGAGTGGCTAAAATTAGAATTCGAGAAGTGATCGATTGATATACATGCAACCGCGCACGCATGTATATGCCTCTCTCTCTCTCTCTTTTTTCTTCCTTCTCTCTGGGCTCGCGTTGCAGTTAAAAAAAAAATAATAATAATAACAATAATTCATTCGGCAAACGCGATCGTCGCTTTATACCTCGTGTTCGTGTTCGTGTGCTTGCGCGGCTAAAATTAGTTTGTATATACGTATGTACCTGCCACTGCCGTCGCGAGTGTAGTGCACGGCACACCGCTTATATAGGGTGCGGCATAATATTTGGAAATTCCGGCGTCGAATATAACGTAATAATATAAAAGTGTACGTATATGTATACAAGTCGGTTTTTGGTATAGAAATATACGCGCTGCCGCTCATTCAAGCTTGTATTACGTATAGCTTTCTCTGCTCTTCGGGTATACATTCCGCGCGCTCGAGTATTTCTGCAGTGTTGTATGTGTATCTTTATTGCGCGAATATAGCTATAGAGCACAGAGAAAGAGAGAGAGAGAGAGAGAGAAGAAGTCAAGAGAGCAGAGTATTTGAACCGAAAATAGTTGACGTTTCTTGATTGGACCCAGTATTTTCTGGATGTATATTCCACGCGATGCGAATGCGCGCACGAGAGAGAGAGAACTATTTATACGTTATATATGTGTATCGCGTGCGATTTTCAACGAAATTTACAAAAATCGTCGAATCTGGACGGGCTCTTTTTCAGATATAAAATAATAATAACGACGAAATTACTCGGAACCGCCGAGTAACGCGCGAGCGAGTCGATAAATAAACAAATTTAGAATCCGCGAACAAGATTGAATTTATCGAGATTGAAAGCTCTCTCTCTCTCTCCGAGTGGACGCGCGTAAAAAAAGCTCGAAATCAAAGCTCATCGAGACGATCTCGAAAAAAAAAACAATCTCGGTAAAGAGTATCATTAAAATCCGTATTCTCGATGCAAAGAACGAGTCCTCCGCAGCTGACCGATACGTACTATACACGTAGCCTCCATCGCGTCTACACTGCCAAGCACACGATGCATCCCCGTTCGGCGCACTTGCCACAGACGCGCGAAAATAGCTCCAACACATATTGCCGCGTATCGTCCGACTTTATGTATGCAGCAGCGCACGCGGAACTGGGCTCGTTCTTTCGTGCAGAGTGAGAGAGAGAGAGAGAGAGAAATACGTATACTATATGTGTTTATTTACGCCGGGTGCGACGATTTTCGCCAATCGTTCGTTCGCGTGCGGATGGTGACGTTGTGCCATACTAGCAGCGTGTCGTGCGAGCGCGCGCGAACGAGATCGAACGAGGTTGCTGACCGACGATCAAAAGTTGCATCGGCTTGCAGTCGTATACTCGACACGTATGAGCGATGATCGACTGGTTGAATCTATCTGCTAAATGATCGCAGATCGGGCTCGTAAATAATTATGTCAATTTTTATCGGTATAATAAATGCTCGAACACCGGGCACGCGCGCGAGTCGTCCAATGCGAAACCTTCGGCTCTTTCCGGGCCGTTAGCTCTGAACGCGATAACGTGCACGCGTATATGTATAGTACAAAAAACAGGCCTGCTCTTCAGGGCTGCTGCTCGAAATTTGGCCGACGATCGTTCACTCGGTTGTACGCCTTCCAAAGTGCGTATACGCTCTCGTGTGTAATACACGTATCGCGCGGCTTTGAAAAGAGTCGTAAATTCAATGCGGTATTTCAAAATAAATAGAACCTCGACGATTGAGGAGCTTCGAATTTGTCGATGCGTATCGACGCGGTCTCGCTGTTGTCGTGACGTCGTCGTTTCATTGACTGAGACTCGAGTATTGTATAGACACGACGCGCGTTATTTGCACGTTGGCGCGTATCTCTCGCATTCATAAATGATCGCCGAGAGTATAAGGCTTGCCTTTGATACATAAACGCGATTAGGCCTGCGCTAAAGATACGTCGATAAATTTGTCGTTTGGCAGCGTAGAGATATTCGAATGAGATATTAATTTTCATCGTTAAATTTATTCAAAATAATTAGGCTCGTATAAAAACAACAACTACGAATTCGTGTTCAATTAATTCATATTATACAAAAAGTTGTGTAAAAAGACGCGTTACAATTACAATGTGTTCATAGCCAAAATAATTTAGCTTTGTTACAATAAAAAAGTTTTTTTATAAAATACTTTTTTCATTTTTTGTTTGTTTTTTTTTTTGGTACGACAAAGGTACAAACAGATCGATGGTTAGGGCTACAATGTTTCTTGCCGACCCTTTTTACGAGTTCTTGAAGTACTCCTTTGATCCAATTGGATCGGGCTTCATGGTTTTCTTTCCGGGTTTCCAGCCAGCTGGACAAACTTCACCATGCTCATCGGTGAATTGGAATGCTTGGACTAATCTCAAAGTTTCATCGACAGACCTGTAATTAAAAAAAAACAAAGAACCATTATTAATTATCCTTGTGTTAACTACTGAGATTAGTTGTAAAAATCTTTGATACAATCATTGAAAAGCTAATATTATCTTGAATTAAGCTGATAAAGCTTTGATTGGAATTTTTGAGTACAAATGTATATTTGATCACGTAGTCTTATCTAATTCCACTTAGTAAATAGGCAACCAGTAGTTGCATAAGTGATAAAGAATTACTTTACCTTCCAACAGGCAAGTCATTGATGGTGATCTGACGCAGATTTTGTTTCTTATCAATAATGAAAAGACCTCTGAATGGAATGCCAGTTTCTTCATCGTAAACACCATAAGAGCGGGCAATTTTAGCACTCTTGTCTGCAAGGAGGGGGATGTTCATTTCTCCCAAACCTCCATCTTTACGTGGAAGATTGGCCCAGGCCAAGTGACTGAAGTGAGAGTCGGTGGATGCAGCAATTACTTGTACACCAAGAGCTTCAAATTCCGCAACGCGGTCAGAGAAGGCAATGATTTCAGTTGGGCAAACAAACGTGCTGAAATAAAATGACAAAGTTAGAAATCATAATTCACAAAAAACATTGCTTATTTCCAAAGTCTTAAGAATGTTGAAATAAAATTCATAAGCAATACATGAAATAAATAGTAGATACATGAAGCTATTATTTTAATACTTACAAATCAAGAGGGTAGAAGAAGAGAACTACATATTTGCCAGCGTAGTCTGAGAGCGAGATGTCCTTAAACTGTCCTTTGACAACAGCAGTTCCCTTGAACTGTGGTGCTGGTTTTTGTAAGTCTGGGACTGGCATCTTGATTTATTTTTTCTTTAGAAATCTATGAACAGATGAAAATTAAGAATTAATTATCGTCAATGACATTGATGACTGAATGAAATTGAAACAAACGTTGAGCATAGTTATAGCTCAACCGATATTACACTACAAGACTAGCGCATGCTTCGTTCAATTATTGAAATAATTGTTAACTAGACGCTAATCTAGAAATCGCGCGTGGCAACACGGTCGATCGACCAGCTGAACTGAAAATTATGCTAAAATGTGCGAGCGTGCGCGCAAAGAGCCGATGAAATATTTATAAGCTCGGCTGCAACTTGTGGCAACACGGTTACCACATTTTATGACATAAAAAAAAAATTGATACGCACGAAAGATAATGACATTGACGATGCGCGCGTGTGTGTGTATATGTGTGAGTCAGAGTTACACAGACCGCAGAGAGATTCAACGGTATATTCGCTGGATGGTTTTTTAAATACACACGAGACTCGGGTAATGTATGTACAGACACGGATTTTGCTACGACTGGGAATGGGAGTGAGAAAGAGAGAGAGAGCGTGAAAGAGAAGCATCTAGAACGCCGAACGATCCTGTATATTACACGCCAGGTTCTAATGGCAGTCTTAGAATATAAAAAAATAACGTTACGTAATATTCCACAAGTCTGTTCAATCGATAGACAAAGTATGTTTCCCCGGAGGTAATAAGTTTAGAATATGGGATCGTTTTTCATAGTCGTCTGTTTTCTCATCGTACACACGAACGATGTGTGTGTGCAAATCTCATGTCGTAAGTCGCCGAAGCCCCGAGGAGCTCCCCTCGAGTTTTGCCCCGAAGTATACCTTTATTCACCGTTAAATGTCGTTGAAAATTTCGGCGTCGGTTAGTATTGCTTATTATTGCGCGCAGAATTGAAAATCAAAATTTAATCCAAACGAATAGTCGCGAATTCGAAGGAAAGAAAAATTAGAATAGACAAAACGTTACGACGTGCCCGAGGCTCAACAATATTATGCAAATGTCGGTGTGTGTGTCTGTGTGAATTGTAACGCTTTTACTTACGCTACTGCGTGGACGAGAGCTTGTGTTGTTCACTCGGCACTGACGGCACTTGGAATGAGGAGAGGAGACACAACTGCCGAGAGGTAAGAGACTAACTAATGGCAAACCACCGGCACTGTAGAGACCAGCGGCGTATATAATAACCGGCTTATTCAACGCTGTACACTGTACAGTCAGCGTGCTGATATGCTATATGTATTGCCTGTGCGAATGCAACACACACTAACGCGCTTAAATGTGTGTAAAAATTGGACGACGGTGGTGGGGAAACTTGAAAGTTGGAATTCAGCAAGAGTCGACGGGGGATTTCGCAATGCTGTCTCTCGCTCGCGCGAACTTCTTGACTGCGTCGGATTCTCGAATAACCGATTTCAGCGGCAAATACGAATTTCGATGGTTTTTGGCTTGCGTTCGGATAAACAAACGATTATTTCGTGAAAATTTATAAATTTCAATTGATTCGTAACTGTCAAAGTTTACGAAACTCGAGATAATTAGATGGTCTAGGATTTTTTCCCTCTTCTGGGTGTTATGTAAACACGAGTTTAATTACCAATGAATCATCAAATTGCGATTCTACGTGAATCAGAGTCATGCCAATTGATGTACGTGATTTGTATCATGACAATCCAATCTCTCTCTCGATAAAAAAAAATACTTAAATTGGGTTGTTTCGTGATTTACGACACATGCTGTAAACTTACTCGCTGATAAGATGTTCGACGACGATGACATGCCTAACGTAGTAAACGCCGGCCGGGTCTCGTACGCGCGTCTCTAGCAGACTGCACTGTCATCAAAACATAACCTTCGCGTTTGTTTTGAAAGAATCGTGTATGAATTCGATAGTTTGCAATTCTTTTTTTTTTAATTTAAAGACGAAATTTTCGTAGATAATTGAATTGATTGAATATTATGTGAGTTTACTTTACTGTCAGTGTGCGTACAAGTACATGGTAAACGTACCAATTTTAATAAAAATTTGTCAAATTTTCTTTTAGCATTTAATTTCCATTGCTTCTCAGCATGTCAGGAATTGTTCAATATGTTCTTGTCAGAGGAGATTTAATCAAATCATTGGAGTGGCCAGTAGGAGCTGTGATAGCACAAGCGTGCCATGCTTGCAGCGCTGCAATTCATTTGTTCCACGATGATCCTGATACTCAAAAGTATCTTGGAGATTTAGACAATATGCACAAAGTAGTTTTAGAAGTGAGTTATTTAAAAAATAAAACTACATAAATTAGAACAATTTTTACATTAGCAACTGATGCAAATGATTCTAAACAATTATTTTAGGTTCCAAGTGAAGAAAGCTTGAAAACTCTTCATCAAACATTGGAAGATAATAGCATTAAACATAAGTTATGGATTGAGCAGCCTGAAAATATTCCAACTTGTCTAGTTGTAAAACCATATCCTAAAGAAGAAGTTCATAAGTATTTCAAAAAGTTTAAGTTATATAAATAATGTACAAATGTCTCAGGAAAATTAAATCTATTTTATTGAAAATATTTTATTAAATTTTCAAACTATTTTATTATAGTAAATATTACAATTTCTGTATTATTATATAAATTAACATAAAAATACTAGTTAACAGCAACAGTTAATCAATCAATCAAATTTGTCAAATGTTGACATGAATTTATTGTGTAGTTCTTTTTGTAATCAGATTTTCTACATCAATAATTTGCTACAAAAAGTATTGTAATATACAATTTTTCAATCTTAGAATTCATTTCACATAGAAGTAATTGATACATTGAAAATTATTAACAGATAATTTAATAATTTTATTTTATTAATTTATTTTTAAAGAATACATATTTTTATTGGATAGCATTATATTTTACATAATAACCATGTTCATACAAATGCATATTTTTTATAATTCAAAATCTGTGATAAGATACAAAAAAAGAAAATATTATTTTAACTATAATTATGGCTATACGTATTCACAATACTGAATATTAATTATAATAATAATGTTTATAAATTTTTCTCAAAGTCTTAAATCGCTGCAATAAATCAAATGACTATTTTAATTTTTTTTTTACGTAACAAAAAATAAAAATAGTTTGTATTAATACTTTTTTTTTCACTGGCACTAAACCGAAATCTAAGATTTCACGAGGGTACCACTTATACTTCATTACACTATTGTATATCTTGTTTTCAATGACAGGCAGTATACGGCAATGTATAAAGAACTATTAATTTTTTTTTTTGATCGATGACCAATTCCAACGTGATTTTTCATTCGCTGAACGAATATTTGTGCGGCCGATATTATTCTTATGTACACATACACTATTGGCATTCAACACTGTAAGTACTTTTATTTACAAAACACTTATTGGCGAGTTTACTATCTTCATTGTGAAAGAATTAATCTATTTTCGAAGTCGATGGAGAGCACGGCAATGCACCTCAGAACTTCATATGACGTTTTTTATATAAATAGAGCTTTTTGGTCCTTCCGTTCTTTACTTTTTCCTCTTCGTCGTCTTCTTCTTCATCATCATCGTCGTCATCTTCCTCCTCTTCTTCCAACCATTTTCTTAAAATATCATTCTTTGGCTAAAAAAGCACACAAACGTTTTGTGAGACGAGAATAGATTGCAATTTATATTATATGTTTTATATTAAATTAGTAAACACCCTTTATAAAATAAATTATTAAAAGTAGCGACGTGCTTGGAAAAATGTTTTGATTGATAAAGAAGTGAAAGAAAGTAGAGGAAAAAAACATTGTGTGCCCTTACCACAATGCGCATCATCCCAATGATTAAAGTCAGTTAGTTTTACTCATTATTCTAGTGATTATTAGGCTTATAATTGTTGACTCTTTGCACGATTGATAGTAGGCGATTAACTAGTGACGATTTAGGAAAATAAAGTAGAGTAGAGATTATTGGATTGAGTGTCGCCGAATCTCGTTGGCGATTTTTTCGAGCTTGCGGAGAGGCAGATTTATTTCTCGGCCATGTTGGCGTTCTCGTCCGGGAACTCCTCGTACTCGTCCTCCTGCTCCTGTTCCTGCTCTTGCTCCTGCTCCTGCTCCGGCTCGTCGTAATCCGTCTCAGCGGGTTCCGGACCCTCGACCGATGGCGCCGACGTGCTCGCCGAGCCCTGATAATGCGCACCCCCCCGATCCCCAAAAATTAACAAGCGTTAGAACCACAACCGCTAATTTCGTGTGTTATTCGCTACACGTCAATCCCAATTTTACATTCGTGCGCTACACACCCGATAAAATAGAATAAAATCTTTGTCACCTGTGGTGGCCGCCAGCCGCAGCCTGGTAGGGGCAGTCCGTCGGGTCCCAGTGGGCAGGGCGCGTCCAGGCCCGGCACACCCTGCTCGCCCTTGTGTCCCTTCTCGCCGCGTCTGCCTCGTTTACCCTGAGGTCCCTGTAAGCGTGCAAACCTTTCAATGCGCGTCTGAGTAGGCCGATTGCCGATAAACAGGCGCGACACGATCGCACAGAAAGAGAGAGAAAGAAGCGTACACTTCATGCCAATCGTACGAGACTTACAGGTATGTTTTTGTAAAATTAGAAAATTAAAATAAAAAAAAAATTGATCTACTGTCGAAAGCCCATGATTCGTATTTTACAGTCTTGTACAAGTAGCGCGATAAAGCACGAGTAGAAATGAAAAATCGTTAAGCACAGAAGAATGCGTAAATAAGGCGCAAGCTAATTATCGTGTTACGCTAGATACATAGGCGTTTGAAGTTTAAAACATTAATTGGTAAAAATAATCGAAAATAAAGAAAATAGTAAGAGAGGTCAAAGAGGCAATGATGAATATTACATTGCTAATTAAAATTAATACGTATTATAAATAAACCAAAGAACAAAGCGTGAAAGACGATGCTTAACTATGCACATTTCTCACAATGCTAAAATCGTTAGATTCGTCATTATTAATTTTTTTTTTTTTTTTCAATCTAAGGTCGCACACAGACAAGCGACCGTTATGTGGTACATAATTGTGGTGGCAGCACATTATACAACGTTCATTACGGAACAAATTATATCGACATTATAATGCTGCGTCGTTCATGCTACGAATGCAGATTTTTACACATACGTGAATATATTATTGTAACTATACAAACATTTACAGTTTTTTATTTGTATTATTTTTTCGTAAACTTGCAACCAAATAAGATACTTACAGCTTCTCCTTTCGCTCCTTTCTCACCTCTAGGCCCCTAAAGTCGACGAGCGCAAAAACAAAATTTAACACTTCATAGACTTAATAATAATGAGCTAAACTTCTATAATTATCGTACAAAATTAAAAGCATGCATCAACAATCGAACATCGTCGAACAATTTACATTATCGTTTTTTTTTCTCTTTTTTTGCTCAAATACATCGCTTTCATAGTGACTTTTTTTTTCGTGCATGTACCTCTGAGCCTGGAATCCCGTCCGTGCCCTGAAACGAAGAAAATCGATGAGAATTTCATTGTGTCATCGCGCGCCGAGCGTCGTGTTCCGAGACGCGAGAGATTACTCACGGGCAGTCCGGTCTCTCCTCTTTCTCCCTTGGTGCCCGGCTCGCCCTGTGCGCCCTGTAATTTTCCCCCAGATTATACGCTTGCTAAAGAGCTCTTGTCTGCGAACGCATCGAAATACGCACGATGGCAAAAATTGCTTACCTTCATTCCGTCTAAGCCCGGTGGCCCCTGCAACGCAAAAATTGAGAAAACATGAAAACTGATAGGAAAAACGAACCATAGGCAGAATTTGATGGAAGTATAATTTGATAAGTTTTTTTGTAAAAAAAATTGCACAATAACTGGCAGCGAAAATTCGTACTTCACTTAGAAAATTATTGCTTTTAATTTTTTTTCGTAAGGAATCGAGTAGTATATGCAATATTTTATGCAGCTAGCTACAACAGATGATAGAATAGATAAATAGAAAAAGACGCACTTTATGATTGTGCCAACAATACAATAGAATAAAAAATTAAATGTGCTGCGAGTAAGTTAAAATTTTGATTCGATTTGTAATTGGAAATATATATTAACAAGAACAAGAGAGGCATTGTTCACTAATTGATGGGATGAACTTCAATTTTTAGTTTTTATAATATTCAACATTATGTGTAAAGTATCCACCAATGAAAGAACTTGACCAATCTAAAAGTGATAGGAATGACTTTTATAGTTTTACAAAAAAAGCCAAAATTATTTTAAAAAAAGGCAGATTGAATATGTAACAAAAGTAATGATAATATGTACGTGGATAAAGAGAAGTAGTAGAAAAGCGTCACCTGTGGAAATTAAGCGTTCAGCGTAATCCTATAAATAATTGTCGAACGTCCATTGAGTATTTTATGACGACGTGTGGTTGCAGCAAACAAAACGTTATTTTTCATATCCGTCGAATTCAGTTAAAATAATTGAATTTTCCAAAGATAAAATGAAGATATTTTCGAAATTCATTATTGAATAAATAATAAATACATATCAAATGATAAAGTAGGATGTTATAACGATTTTAAAGCGAATTTATTTTAAAAAATACTGCAGAATTAGAAATAATAAAAATGCTAAGCCAATCGATCGATATGAGATGCACTGATAATTTGAAAAGTACCCGAAGGATTTGAGATAAAATCGAGGTAAGCAAAAAGAGGTTTTGTTTTGAGAAAGCAATAAGGCTCGAAGCACATGCACATTTTGTTTATTAATCAGGACATCGTTTTAAACAGAATGTTGACAAAAACTTTTTTTTTCGTATCATTTTCTTGCACTGATAATTTCATTTTATACTAAATAACGCTCGCAAATCGATGGAACATCTAAGTACAGTTAATTTAACAAATATATATATGTGTGTGTCGCGTATGTCAAATTTCCATCGTGAACTCTTTATGGACCATATTTTGGCAAATCGATGTACAACTTTTTCTCTTTCTTCTTCGTATTATTCTTCTTCTTTTCCTCACTAATCCTTTTCTTGCATGGATTAACATTAAAACCTTAAGCCTATGGTAATCCTACAGCAATAAAGTAGTTTGATTACATTACGCTTAAATCCTGTATATTACAAGTCAGAAAGTATCTCAACGATGCTATATTCTTTCTGGGCTTTGTCTTCGACGTTCATTCTCGTTTTGAACTTCCTAATCTAGTCATTTAAGTACTTAAATTACATTTAACATTAGGTACATGGCTGAATAAAATTAGTTTTTTGTTTAATTTATATACATATTTTTTCAGATTCAAGTCATCAGAAGTGAAGCATCAAATTGCACAAAGTTTGAAGCTTATTCAATGAAAAATTAAGAAAAAATAGGAAAACCAGAAAAACATTCTTATCATTTCTTGTTATTGTTGAAAATCTCTATTCAACAATAGTGAATATCATCAATCAGAGGTGAAAATATTTCTTAAATATTTCCCCTACTTCAAAACTTTAAATGCGGATTAGTTATCACCTCTTACATAAAATATTTTTAAATAATACAATTTTTTCCATTCGACAACAATTCTGTTTCGGTGATATCTTGTGAAAAAAATACTTCAAATTTTACAAATTCTTTGTATACATATGATATATTATTTTTAAATGTAAGTCCACACTTTTGACTTTTTTTAATGTTTTATTTACAATGCATACTTATTAAAATTTAATTTATAAACTTGTCGGCTCTTAAGTCGAGTTTACTTATAACCTGATCATTTATAATATATAATTTATGTGACTATAATTTGGTTTTTTGATTTTTCGATAAAATTTAAAATAATTTTAATCCCATGAAGTATTATAGTATAGTTTAAGTATAATAAATACTGTTTTTTATATAACATTGGCAGGTGATTGATTTGTATGGTTTTGGAATATTTAAATTGATAAAAAAGCTGCCGGTGATTTTAACCGAAGCAAAAATGTTTTTTCCTTTTAACTTGTTATAGTCTGACAAGTTCTTTTAATAATTTTACTATCTAATATTATTAATGGATTTTTGACGTAAATATTTCATTTAAATAAATATAGATATCAATTCCAATTCAACGGTCACGGTACCATTACCATTTTTATAGTACATTCACCAGCTAATTTATAAAAACATTTTCCTTTATCTTTGTTCATGGACAGTGACAGATGAAGAACTCACTCTATAGCGTATAAAAAAATCATTTTTTTTAACATGCTTTGCAGCCAAATAAACAACATTTGTAATGTAATAAAATATATTAAAATTATATAAAAATAGTATATGCGTTATACATTAAAGTACTGAATCCTATACCATCACATTGAAGTGACTTGAAAATTTCAAACTTTTACAAAATCATCATTGTTATGGTTTTCATTTAAGTATCAATACCAAGATTAAATAACTTTTTAAACTTATTTAGAATTATTTAAATTTACAATGATCAGCGTGGTTTTTTCATGATTATTCAGTGATTTTTTTTAAATATTCACCATATTTTGCAAGAATAAAATAGTTCAAGATAATGATAAAATGAATGAAAATTAACTGTCTTTAATGCAGTTCTTATACCTTTAAATAAAAACATATTGAATAAAAATTATTCGTGAAAAGTATGTTCCGGCTCATTCAATTGTTGCTTGAGTTTTTCGTAATACAAAGAAAGCCCAACGCTGATCGTTTCAGTAAAACCGAAACTAAATTCTTATTATGCAGAGTGAAGTTTTCCATAAACATCGAGATATTTGATTTTCTATAATTATAAATCATTTTTTTATACTTTATTCAGTCTCGTATTTTTTTTCTTTTTTTTTCGTCACAAGACATGATGATACCTGCAAAATTTTACGAAGATTTGGACGAGCCTTACACGCGACTTAAGATTTACGTGATCAATTAGGGGCCTCTGTGACAAAATATATTTGGCATATTCGAGTTGTTGATGTAAGTTATGAAAAATTGTTGAATTGAATAACATAGAAAATGTGTGTCGTTAATTACATGCTTTTCTTTTGAGAATAAATCTCGAGACGCATCGTTTGCTATAAATATATCGCAGGTCCTTGCACCAGTAGCAAAGACCCGGCCGGTCTGCGTTAGATAGGTTATTGTCGGTTATCTTTGTAGTACCTATCCCATGTTAGTCGTTAGTCGGATCATCACCACGCACCAACCTGTAGTTAAGCCGATTATTAATAAAATATTTATATTATCAAGCTGATTATATATTTTATTCAAAATAAAGATCCCTCAATTCCAATATTACATCTAAGAGCATTTCTGTTTTAATAGCGTATAGATTTCGATTTTAGAAAATAACTATAGTGCCAGTTTTGTGTTATGGAAATTAAAGTGTTACTGATTTAAGCAAGGAATTTTGAAAAATAGAAAAAATTTAAAAAATTATCAAGTAAGAGAATCATTTAATGATCCAATTTCGTGTTTAAAGGAAATATATTTATTTAATTTATATACAATCTTAAATTAAACATAAAAAAAATAGAATCGATCAAAAAATAGTGCACAATAATGAATTGAAAGATTCGATTACTCTAAAACCTATTTTACTTAAAAATCATTCTAATAACTTTTGGTCGTAATTTTTATTTTGCTACAAAAAATCTTTCTTACGGTCAAATTAATAAACGAAATGAATCTCTATTTAATTATGTTTATAACATATTTGTTTGAATTATATACCTCTGATGAATTTAATTTTTACATGCCAAAAATCTTTTGCATGAATTTATGTATATTTACAATCGCGAAAGGACTTTCAATCTATTCTATTTTACATACATATACTGATGAAAGTCGTTAAATTAATTTATCCTAGCGATATGAATACAAACATAATAATACTAAAAAAAACAAAATTTGTTTCTAACTGTCGCACAGACCAACTATCAATTGAATACGCTCGCTCTTGTTTAAAAAAAATAATACGCGTTCACCATATCTCAGTTTATAATGAGATTGAAACGTGTAAATTTTGTAGAATATGCAGTATATTCCATTTATAGTAATTTTTTTCTCGAAAATATTCACGTCCACACTTGGATTGTAATTTTCATCTTCGTTTTTTTCATGCCGGCGTTACTGATAAGTAACATCATTAGGAATGCGAGTGGGCAACGTTTCAATTGGATCTGAGCGATTTACTGACGAGGATTAAAAGCGAGAGCTCCTCGATCTTACCATGGCACCCGCCTTTCCTTCTCCTGGTCTCCCTGCTTCACCTCTGAGTCCCATTGGGCCCTGAAAATATTATGTATACATGAATATTCGGTTTACTGATCAAAAAACTTAGATTTAATGCCGATTGCAAAACACAAATTAAAATTAAAACATGAAAATGCAATCACGTACATTATTTTTTGCAGAAATAAACAAAAAATATACAAAAAATATACAGAAAATTCAGTCATAATTATAACCAGCCTTCACCGCTAGATGGAGAGTACTTTTCGGGGTAAATCTGCTAGTGGTAAAGTGAAAACACTTGTATTTATATAAGTACAAGCACGATTCGAACAAGTTGATTGGTCTGCTCTCAAAGCTTTAATTTAAATTAAATTTGAATATCTCCAACCGCGTATAATTTATAATTTATTATTTTTATTTAATGAAAAAATAATTGTACGACTATAATGGAAAGCAATAGTCAATTGATTTACTTACGGGTAGCCCCATTGGTCCAGGATCTCCTTTGCCACCTTTTTCACCCTGTAAAAAAATAATTTTTGTTTACATTGTGCACATTAATTAAATGTAATCATATGAAATTCCACGAAAATTTAGTTGTAAACTGAGAACTTTCGAGGCACCATTATGCGTATGAAGTTTTTTACTAGTCGAGTACGTTACGAGGCAACGAACTCTCGACTTTGACAATCTGACTTTTCACGAACAATTTTTAATAAGAAAACTTGCAGGCAGACTGGACGTTAGATTGTGTATACTGCAGGAAAAGTTAACTCTTACAAACCGCAGAGACGAGCTTTTTTTCTTAATTATTTGTCGTGATGTCATGAAAGTTTATCAGTTAAAAAATAAAGAAAGAAATTTATGTTGTTACTGACAGGCTCTCCTTTCGCGCCGTCGTGTCCTCGGTCGCCCTTGATGCCAGGTGGACCCTGTAAACCAGGTGTACCCGAAGGACCTGGTGGTCCTGGCGGTCCCATTATCTAAAAAAAATTTTTATATTAAAAACGTCATAATTACTAACTTTTGATTAAGCCAATTTTGGATAAACATTATCAAATAAAATGACAATTTTTTACGTAAAATTTATATGATTACTCACATATTGGCCTGACATTTCACCAGCATGTACTTCAAATGTGCTATCACCCTGCAACATATTACAGTTCATTAATGGATTGCACTGATAATTCAATTATCATCTACGAGGAAATTTCTTTTTTAATCTTACCTGTCTTCGTCTGACTTTTTTGTACTTCTGCTCGCAGAATTCATGAAAAAATTATAAATCAAAAGTTAAGATATCTGTTATAAAATGTGTAAAAGTATAAGATATTTAACTAACCGATTCTCCTTTGTCACCTTTGTCACCTTTCAAACCGGGATATCCCTAGATAATGTAAAAATATTCGTGAGAATTATTGAATTTTGTACTTTCACAAAATAAACATTTCCACATGATCTATGCACTTACCGGTGGACCAGGTAAACCTGGAGGTCCCATGAGACCTGGAGGTCCAATGTCACCATAATCTCCTTTTTCGCCTTTAGGTCCAGCAAGTCCCTGAAAATAAGCACAATTATAATTATTATAAAATCATTCGTTTTAGCTTCATTTAACGTTAAAAAAAAACTTACGGGTAAGCCTGGTGGTCCCTGAATTCCAGATTCTCCACTCAGCCCATCGAGACCCGGTACTCCTTGAGGTCCTGCGTCACCTTTGGGTCCTGAAAAACGAAAAATGAACCATGAAAAATTCGCTCGTTTCGTTGACTCTGGTACAAACAAAAAATAACATTAGATATTAAATAGATCGTAGATATTTAATGACTATAATGTAAGCATACAACGAAAAAAAAATGGAATCAGGCGAATTGGCTCCAATAGCCACCTGTAAAACACTCAATATTATGTTACGATGTGTTGAGTATGCATTTGTCGGGTTAGATCGATTAGAAAAACACCAAAGCCTTTTTGCGCGTTGTTGTTGTGTGTATAGTCCAACCACCAATCGCGAGGCTACAACAGCTGATTCATGTGATAATAGAGATCGAGTCGCCCCGATGAGACGATGATTTTGTTTGTTTTTTTTTTGTTTTTGTTTTATATAAACTACCTGAAGGACCTCTCGGGCCATCGCGGCCACGCTCGCCGGGCTCGCCTTTCGGACCGCGCATTAGTTGACGTGCCGTCAGCAACGATGAATCCTGACCTCGATCACCCTGTGTTCGGCAAACAATCTTAAGTGTCTTCTCGCTCTTTCTCAAACTATCTCGACAAAATATAATGACGAGATAGTATAAGGGGAAAATTGGAGGAATCGATTGGATTTTAAAGAAAATATAGGAGTGTTACTTGTATGAATGGAAATTGTGTATGGGAAGTTCGTGAAAATACATGTGAGGATGGATGATACGTGCACTGCCTTTAGATGAAACTACATCAAATATAATACATTATATACAATATATACATGAAATTAATAAATTTGAATGAAAATAATAAATAAATAATTGAACTGGCGTCGATCGAGTCGCAAAATAATTATATCAACCCAAAAACCAATATACAACTACCACACATATATTAATATCAAATGTAATATCCAAGATTAAATACTGAATCATGCACACTGACCAACCACTCGTAAAACCGATTTATTAATGTTAAACACAACATGTATTATTTATAGTACAGCATATTAGATGTTAAAACACTGATTAAATGACCTACGAATTAACAATATTCCGCTCCCCTTTTTTTAAGTGCCACTTTTGGTGCTTTTGTGTCGTTGAAAAAAAAAAAATGATAACAGCAACAAAATACTTACGCGCAAACCTCGACAGAATGTGCCACCGCTGCAGCGACACACCCGAAAACGTCGAGTGGTGCAGCGGCAGCAGCAGCAGCAACAGGCCATCGAGGTAAAACTTCTCTACACGTTTGTGTACAGCGTATTAGTTTACCGCACGTATTATGTAGTCGAGGACGATTATATATGTACAGAATCCTTCGACTTACATCGACCGAAGCGGCGCAGAAGACTGTGCTGTGTGCCTTTGCTATATTATACACACATCTACGTACACGGGGAGCGGGTGTTATTTGACCAAGTATAAATACAAATTAGTTACAAAGCTGTGTATGTAATAAATGTATACGGCTCCGACTTCCACCATATCGCTAAATGTATTATTTATTATTATTATATACCAGCGGCGTCAAAGGATTACACTTGCGTGCGGCAGCCACTGCAGTCCCAGAGAGGCGGACTTTATATCGTATTGTTATAATGCAACAAACATCATTTATAATATATATATAAAGATTATGTTACGCGTTACATACATCGTGTGTCCGTGTACTACTCAAAAGCTCGAGAACAAATTATTGCCGCATACGGTAATTACGCATATTTTCTACTATTAATTAAATATTAATGTACACAAAGAATGTCGCTAATTATAACTCGAAATATACCAGCACTCTTGTTAATTATTTATTTATTGCAGCTTTTAATCTCGGGCGATGTGATGCCAATTAAAAGTTATATGCGATACGCTGCGTATACGTCGGAGTTCAAAAGCTGCAACACAGCTGAACTTATAGCGGAGAGAGGAAAAAATGCGTTCGACAACTTTTTCATATACACAGACTCGAAGCCAGCAATAGTAAATTCTTCCCACAAGTTCAAAGAAATTGGCTAATAAAAAAATCTTATCTCTCGCGGTCTGCACTTGCGCGCGGTCAAGAAAACTGTTTTTATCTCGCGCTGAGATTGATCGCTCGCCCATTTTGACGATCGTATCTCTCTCTTTCTTTCTTTCTTGGCTGCAGTCAGCTCGGTGCGAGGCACTTATATATTTTTGCGCCCTTAAATACATCTTCGAAGCGGGCAAAAAAAAGTCGATTTTCGCGGAGATATATAGATATAGCTGTGTACAAACATTTTTTCCTCAGTCCGGAAGATTTTCAATTTTTAAGTGTATATATTTACACCTGTCTTAACTACTCAGAACACATATATACTTACTTCTACTGGCTAGTTTACATACAAATGCAGAATTTGAGTAGCAAAAGTAATTAATTATTGTGTAATTGAGCCGAATGTTTGCGATTTATATAAAAATAGAAATACAACAAAACAACTTTTAATTCAAGATACAATAATTATTTAACAAAATTTCTTCGAAAAAACCAAGTAAGTTATACGTATTATTTGCTGCCACCAACGCTTGTTAACACTTATCGATTGAATAGTTTTGTACTTTAATTTTTACTCCAGAAAATTATGCACGTAAAAAAAAACGTAAACACCATAGGATGAGGTCTAACTTCGAACAGTCTCAATCATAATAATATCTATTGAGATATTTATTGTTTTTCTTTGGATTTCAACCTCATACAATGATGATTATAGCGAGTAATTCAAATAGGCAGAAGATAAAAGAAAGAGACGTTCACCGATTATTTCATCGTCATTGACATGACAAAAGCAATAACGATTTTATACTTGGAAATGCTGCATTGAGATATATATTTCAGATAGAATAGAAAAACGAGTTGATGAAAAATCGACTTTGCTCGGTAGTTTGGTGCGCGCAGCAGCAACAGCAGCGAAAAAAAAAAGTAGTAGAAGAGGCAAAGAGCTTCGAATAGAGCACGAGCTATTGCACAGCGGCGGCGGCAGCAGCAGCAGCAACAGCAGCAAAAGCAGTAGTATAGCAGCAGCAACGGCAAAACATCGAGCTGACAGACAGATAAAGATTAAACGTCGGCTGCACAATATGCGAAAAAAGGCGTAGAAGAGAGAGTAGACGAAGCATATACATAAGACGTTTGTACATGCGCCGAGAAGAATCTCTTCTTAAGCTCCTCTTAATTTTGATTTTTCGTAAGAAAAAAAGAAATTCGCGAGTAGACGTGGACTTTTAATCGTAATTGCGAGTGGACACGCAAATGTAGACAATCGTGTGGACTTGACTTTTGAAATTTCGAGTTTTCGCGAACTCGCGTGTTCACTCTTCCCAATTACGATTAAATGTAATGCAGTCCCGTGTATCGCGCGCATTAGCACTCGAGTTTTTTTGTCATCTTAATTCGTATACGAGAGCGAGAAAATTTTCGAGTAACTTTTTCTCTGCGATTCTTTTTATACGTTATGTTTACATTTTTACTCGTGCACACGCGAGCCGTGGCTCTGACACTTTTTCTCTAGACACGAGTATCCGAGGACTTTTTTCATGGCAAATACATGCAACAATCGAAAACTCGTGTCATTTCGAGTATCATCAAAACAAGAAGTAAAAAATCTACGCGCCCACACGCTTGGCGCAAAGGTAACTCGGAATTAGCCCTCGTTCTGTCACAATTATAATAACTAAAAGAAGGCTCGAGGCACCAAGACACGCGTATACACGACTGCTCGAAAGTTAGTCACAAAACTACGCATGCAAATGATTTATTGCATACACCAACCACTACAAAAATGCGAACAAAAAAAAATAATAGGTTAATGATGTCTACGAGAACACAGGCAGGCGTGCAATTAAAAAGCAATAATTACGTCTGAGAGGACATGAAGGTGGATGCGTCGAGGGAGTCGTGACCTTTTTATTATAAAAATCCACTGGATTTGGAATTGTAATGTAAAAAAAGGAGGCCAAACTCAGTTGACAATGTTGGAATGAGAGAGACAGAGACAGAAAGGGACAAAGGAAAAAATTTTCAGACCCGAATGCGAGATAGGTCTGGAGGCTGATCGTGTCGTCGTGGGTTGAAAATGAATAAGAGAAAAAGAGATATATAGAAAGAGAGAGAAAATAAAAGAGAAAGAAGGAAGTAAAAAGAAAAAAGAAGAGAAGGAGGAGAAAAGAGCAGAAGAGGAGAGACGGAGAGCGAGAGCGAGAGAGACAGATTGCGAGATCTGCGTTGTTGGGTGAGCTTACCTTCTTGCCCTGCTTGCCGCGCGCGCCTCGTTCGCCTGGCGGACCGGGTGGTCCGGTCGGTCCACCGTCACCCTTCTCGCCCTGCGGCCCTGCGTATTATCAGCCGCACATCAACAACAATATTTTCCTCCTCTCGTAATATAATGTATAAAATGACGACGATGATGATGATGATGAGGATGATTCTGTGTATGCTTTTTTGACTATAGAGCCGTCGTATTGTGTACGTAATACGCAAGCGCGCGTGTCGTCGGATTCGCGGAATGATTTGTTACTTGTACGTACGTGTGCATGTGTGCATGTGTGTGTCTAAGAAACTCGATTAGCGATGATAAAAAAAAAATGCGAGCGAACAGTGAAGTTCGTGCAGTTTTTATTCGCATTTAATAACTTCGACGAGTAAAAACTCTCGCGCTAACCACTAAGCCCGAAATGAAATGTCATAAAAGTCACAAAGAGCATCGAGTTAACCGCGATGTTATTTACAACTTTGGGAAGAAAATAAAAAAACTATGAACGATTTTTTTATTGATATTAGTTAGGTAAGGTATGTAAGTTGGCCTCGGCGCGGCACGAGAGATGCGCGCAATGGATGAAAATTTACTTATCGGGAGCCCGCAGGCTTGAATACGACGATCGTCGCGGCCAAGACATAACGCAAGCGTCGTGTTCGCTTAGAATCAAAATATCCCAACGAAGCAGATGGCTATAACTGTGTACAAAAGATTTCGACTCGCTTGTAATATGTATCACGGACACGCGTGCACGCAGCTTTGCAGCCTAATTTGCCCAATCGGCGAATTGAATTACCACCCCATGTAGAAGATGTATGAAGTGTATATGATTAATTGTCCGTCCATGACTTCTAATGTTCAACGTATAATTCATTTTGCAATTATTTTAGAATATAATTATCTATTTCATAAATATAAACTATTTACAATAAAACTTTTTCATGCGCCACAGAGACTTTATTGTGAAAACTAACGTTCAAACTATTAGTATTATCCGAGGCTCAAATTTTCACTCATTCCGGATATAAATTTAAAGACTCATATCATTTTTGCTTGATATCTATGCATGAAAAATACTCTGCTCCTATTTAAGCACACGCGAAAAAGCTCACAGCCTTCGAAAGACTCTTATGTACAACGTTTGTGCGTTGCTGATCAATTTAAAGTCCGAAAAGGAAGAGGAACGAAGCTGCTTATATCTATCGAAACAGGGTAATAATTAGCGCTCTACGATAAGTACAACTTCGCATTACTGTTATTATGTTTTAGATTTGAGTATTGCCATTTAAATCGATATTCATTGGACAAAATTTAAATTTATCGCGCTTTTAACGGCGTTCGTCTGTGCTCTTCGAGTCAAGTTTGCTCGGCACATATCCTTGCCGCGGAAAAGTGTCGCTACTTTCACTACTTGAACTGGTTCTCGTAAACACAACATTCGAAATTAATCCATAGGCCGCAAAGTCATTGTTGTGAAAACTACTGCCCAAGTTATTATCTTGTTTGCGCCTTTTGTTTATTTTTATTAAAAATCACTCAAAGTTTCAATCGATCAGTTATAAAGTATTAAAAAATTGTTTGGTACTTTATTAAAAATGGCATCAGAACTAAGAATAGAGGCATCTACCACAGCCATTTCAGAATGTTGCACTTTTAAGTGGACAATAAAAAATTATCGCATAATAAAATTAAGTGCGGGAGAATTAATTGTATCTCCACATTTTGGCGTTGGAAGTGATAATAAGCAATACTTCGTATTGCATTTATATCCTGAAGGCAATAGCGAGAAAGATGCAGGCTACATTTCATTATATCTTAAACCCGTAATAGATTCAACGAACAAACCGGATAAGCTCGTATGCAAATGGTCAGTATTAGTTATTAATGATAAAAAAGTTACTAAAAAATTAACAATGCATCACGATTTTGCGAACACTAACTTCAAGGGCTACGGTTCGCCGAAATTTCATAAATTGGAAAATATTGACGATTTAATTTCGGCCGAGAACACTATAACTATTCAATGTGAATTAGAAGTTTTCAAGAAATTTAAGTCTTCATTTGATTGTCCAGATATTATCGATGGCAATAATCAGGCAAGTGATATAGTGAATTTTGGCGTACTGTTTCTTAGTGAAGAATTTAGTGATGTTAAAATAAAAATTTCTGATACGCATGATATCCCAGCTCACAAAGCTATACTCGCACCTGCCAGCCCTTTATTTATGGCCATGTTCAGACATGATGAAAGTTCAGGAAACCAAAAAAGTTCTGTGAAAATAACCATACCTAATGTGAATACTGTAATTGACATGCTGCGATTTATCTACACCGGAGAGGTTGATGGTTTTGAAACTGATCAGATTATTAAATTATTAGAAGTGGCACACGATTATCATATTGAGAATTTGAAAATCAAGTATGGAAAAATGTTATGTACTAAATTGTCACCTGCTAATGTAATTGACATTCTAGTATCTGCTCATATATACGGGGTAAAGAATTTGGAAGATGAAGCAATAAAGTTTATCAAAAACCACTGAGAATTACCATTCAATTCTTAAAAGATGGATAAAATATTTTATAATGATATATGGATTAATTTAAGCCAATAGATACTTAAATCTCAAAAAAATGTATCGTAACTCTTTTTTGTGTCTAAAAGTAGTTTTTAATGAAGTTTCATTATGATTCCATCGACAACAATGATAAGTTAAAATATGCTTGATTAACTAATTAATCTATAGAATTAACAATAAGCAAATTATTTGGAAGATGAAACGATAAGATTTGTTACAAATCACACCCAATTATACACTGAAAAGTTAACGGAAAAAGATGACCCTGATTTGCTAAGAAATATAATGCAATGTATATTAAAAAAAATTGTAACTCAGGATCTTTGTAATATATCTTCAATTGTTTATAATTTTATTATTAAAATTAGACTGAAATATGAATGAAGCCATCGTTCGTTGCATGAAGAATTTGACCAAGAAAATATTGTAAATTTAGTACATCTGTACAAGGAGCTATAAAATAATTTTAAATACAATCAGTAAAGTTTCAATGTAAATAAAGTGCATAAATACATATTTTTAAATTTAATAAACCTTTTTATTTTGGTTCACCCATAATAACCTAAAGAAAACGAAGAACTCCGAAAATTTTCTCAAAATAAAGGGATGCTATACTTCGAAAAATTTTAGAGGCCCATTTTAACATCTGATTTCATCATTCTAAATGCTAAATATAAACGAGAGTTTCCCAGTTAATTGAAGAATTCGATTCAATCGCTCATCTCATTTACATAAATTCATGGTCGCGGACAAGATTTTTTTTCTTGAAGTTTTTCTCAAGTTTTTTTCAGGTTTTTTGTAACTAAATCGCTGTAGACCTTTTTGCTTGAAGATATTAGTTTTTGGGAAAATAATAAATCTAATTTTTCCAGTGTTCGAGTTCATAAGTAAATTAACATTTGGAAAAGTCTCATATAAATTCGACTCGATAGCACATTGGAAAATATTTTTCGCCCGTCAATTAAGCAAACAACGAACAAATCAAATAAGATCGTTTGTAGATGGACAGTATCACCTATTAATGATGAAAAAGTTGTTAAAAAAATGAGTTGGCATCACGATTTCGCGAGTATCCCAAACTGGGGTTTCGGTAAATTTTTCCCTAGGAATGATATAAAATAATTTCTTCCGAGAATACTGTAACTATTCAATGTGAATTAGAATTTTCAAAGAATATAAAAAATCATTAAATTCGGAAATTATATCTTGTAAACATGAGTTAATCAATACGATAAAATTCGATTTTTCATTTGATAATCAAAAACTCAGTGATGTTAAATTGATAGTTGAAGATCAGGAAATCCCAGCGCACAAAATTTTACTCGCAGCAGCCAGTATAGTATTCAGGGTCATTTTTACGTTTGATATGTTGGAAAACAATGAAAACTCCATAAAAAAAACTGAAATTATCAGAATATTCTAACTGAAATACTACGATTTATCTACACCGGAGAGATCGATGCTGTTGAAGTCGATCGGATGATTGAATTATTATCAGTGGCTGGCAAATATCAAATTGACAGTTTGAAAATCAAGTGGGAAAAATGTTATGCGCTAATTTGGAAGCTGAAGCATTAAAGTTTGTTACAACTCACACAGAAATAATCTCGAATTCTAAAAAGATAAAGGAAATAAATGATCCTGTTTCATGGATAAATTTAATGCAATCAATAATAAATAATCAATAACAATTAACATTTGAAAAAAACGACTGGTGACGATTGTAAAAAAGGCCTATTGAACTGACATTCAATTTAAATCCTTCGCTCAATGATCGGCGCTCGTCTGTACTCTGTGAGTCGAGCCTGCTCTGTACAACGAAAAACCCAATAAGACAATCCGCGCGAACGTCGCTATTCGCAGGAATCGTAAGGCAATCCCTGTTTTCAGCCATGCGTGCACGTCAATTTATGAACGTGTGAGCCCTATCAATCATAAAATGGCGATACACGGAGATTCTGTGATGATGTCTCGTGCGACGTTGGAGATTTCTCCGTATCAAAACGCTACACAAACGTTCGGTAGAGACTACAGAGCGCAAGACGCCAATATATGGCGAAATAAGGGCAGCGCCTATGGCTACCGCGTGTACTACCAAAGAAGATAGACACGTATAGAAGCCCAGAGCTTAACTAAAAATTGAGGCTGGCTCATATGATACCAAAACCAACTTCAAGGGGGCGCGGCGAGCAACCTAAGCCTGTAATGTATAACCAACATTTAGTCCCTTGGTTACCAAAGTCTTCGTGGTCGAGTGGTCAAGCGCTCGGCTTCGTCTTTTGCGTCGAGCGGTCGGGCCTTGGTTCAATCCCAGGCCGCAGATATTTTTTTTTACATTTTTTTCTCAAATTACAAAGAATAAAGTAAGGATTTCGCTTCTAGCTAATATTGCTTATAAAATTAAAAATACTCTGATAAATTTATTTATTAAGGGTTTTTTTTAAATGTGAAAAATAATAATCAAGCGATACGGTCCATTTAAAATTGGAGTCCGAGATATTTTCATAAAAAAGAAACTTCATTTAACGAAATTGACACGAAATTTTTTTTCAAGGCGTCTAAATATACATTAATTTAATTTAATTTGCGTTTGAATTAAATGTGATTTTTTATTTTTTTGCAGAAAAAAGAACATGAAAAAAAACGTTCGATTATCAATGCAATTTTAATTTTACGACCAATATGAGCTAAAAACGAAATCCTTACTTTATTCTTTGTAATTTGAGAAAAAAATGTAAAAAAAAATATCTGCGGCCTGGGATTGAACCAAGGCCCGACCGCTCGACGCAAAAGACGAAGCCGAGCGCTTGACCACTCGACCACGAAGACTTTGGTAACCACGGGACTAAATGTTGGTTATACATTACAGGCTTAGTCTATCTTCTTTGGTACTACTGATGTAATCATGCCAGCGGTTTCATAAGGCAGGCACACTGCGCACTTACGCCTTCTACTTGGAATCGAGTCACGCGTCCACTACAGTCAACGCGTTCAGGCAGACTTACGCATGTGTCTCGCACAATTAGACGCATAAAAATCTGCACACAGAAGTCAGAAGTTCTTGCGCCCAGTAGGGGAAAACGTCGTGCGACCTACTATACGCTCGAAGATTATCAGGGCCCACACACGTTCTTACCTACTAGTATTGTGCATTGTCATTGGAACATCTGACATCATTGATAGCGCGCAGCACGCAGTACGACCAGAAAAAAAAATCAGCTCATACGCCGCAGTGCCATTGTTGGGAAAAGTGCTGTCGAAACTATTATCTCGTCAGCGCTTTTTGTTCAATTTTGTTAAACATCGATTAAAGTGTCACTCAATCAAGTAATAAGTGTGTAAAAGTTATCTGTTAGGTGGGTCAAAATGTCATCAGACCAACGAATAGAGGCATCTACCACAGTTACTTCAGAAATATGCATTTACACGTGGACGATCAAGAACTACGGCCTAATAAAATTCAAAGTTGGACGAGCATTACAGTCTCCAAAATTTGGCGTTGGAGGTGATGATAAAAAATACTTCAATTTGCACTTATTTCCTGGAGGCAGGAATGAAGAATCTGCAGGATACATTTCGATATTTCTTAAACCTGTAATTGATTCAATGAATAAACCAGATGAGCTTGTATGTAAATGGACAATATCACTTATTAATTGTGAAAAAGTTATTCAAGAATGTACTTTGCATTACGATTTTGCGAGCGAAAATTTTTTAAGCTATGGTCGGCCTAAATTTTTTAAAGTGGAAAATATTGAACAATTAATTTCCTCCCAGAATACTGTAACTATTCAATGTAAGTTAGAAATTCTCAATGAGGTTCAATCTGCATTGAATTCAGATATCATATGTAGTAAAGATGAAACAATTGATACAATAAAATTTGATTTTTCATTTGATAATGAAAAACTCAGTGATGTTAAATTAATAGTTGAAGAACAGGAAATCCCAGCGCACAAAATAGTACTAGCAGCAGTTAGCCCAGTATTCAGAGCCATGTTTACACATGATTTGTTAGAAAACACTGAAAACTCTGTGAATATAACCGACATTACTAAGGATATTTTAAAAGAAATGCTGAGGTACATCTACACTGGAGAGATTGCTGCCATCAAAACAGATGAGATAATTGAATTACTAGCAGTGTCTGACAAATATCAAATAGACAGTTTGAAAATCAAGTGTGGAAAAATGTTATGTGATGATTTGTCCACTGAAAATGCAATTGATATTCTAGTAGCTTCTCATAAATACAATGTTAAGCTTTTGGAAAATGAAGCAATAAAGTTTGTCACAACTCACACCGAATTACTTTCTAATTCTAAAAAGATGAAAGAAATAGATGATCCTGATATATGGGTAAATTTAACCCAATCAATGATAAAATTTCAAAAAAAATAAAATTTGGTTAGTTCAATCTGGTTCAGTTTTCTGGTATGTTGTTTTGAGATATTATTCATGAAACTATAATTTAAACATTAAATAATAATGACTCAGTTTTATGATTTTTGCATTAAATGATATATTCACTTTTAAATTGTTATAATAAGTCTTCGATAGTTCATTATTTTGTGTCAAAATGAAAATAAATATATTATTCAGCTATTACACAAGCTCCATTTTTTATATAGGTAAAATTTTGTAAGTTGATTAAAAGTGATTGTTTATTCTTTGTAATCTAATTCCTTGTTCATTGCATGGAAAGCATTTGAACAGAACTTTTTGTAAAACTATCACAATAAGCTTAAGTTATGTTTATAATCTATAAAAAATCAATAAAGTTGTAATGTCAATAAAATGTATATGTGAATATTTTCAAATGACTTAAGAAATGATCTTGCTTTAATCAGTAATAATAAGGAAAAAACATGAAAGTGTTATAATCTTGTCATAAGACGAAAGGACGTCACATACTTCACAAAATCTTTACAAATCCATCCTGAAATTTGGTTTTATCACTTCAAATGCACAGATATAAAAGTGTTAATTTAACCACTTATGGCATCAACATAGGTTTAATCATAGGCATGATAGCGGAGAAAATAATACACATCTATTGAAAAGAAACTCTAATTATATAAATTGTGTGCATTGCTTATTCATAATTTAAAGTTCAAAGGGAGAGAGGGGGGGCGTCAGTTAACATCTACTGAAAAAATGCCATAAATAGCTCACTACCCACGTCTATACAACTATATATCTATACCCTGCGGTCCTCAAGTTCTCGCGCCGTGTGTACAGCCAATTGAATTGAGATTTATTAGTCAAAATTTAAATCCTTTGCGCAGTTATCGGCGCTTCGCGAGCTAAGTTAATTCTGCACAATGAAAAGCTATATAAAGACAATCCGTTCGAACTAAACATCGCCTTGCACGAATCATAAAATGAATCTTTTTTTCAGCCGTATGCATGCACTTATATGTGTGAATGTATGATCGTTGTCAAACAGTGCAGTGGTGCCCGAAGATTTTTCGCGCGTTGATGTCTCGAGCGGCACTTGAAAATACTCCGTATCCAAGACGTTACTCTAGCGAAGTGAGGGCAGTGCCTATGCTTGCACGTGTACTGTTTTTATTATTGTCACGCATGTTATACACACAGGAGGCCCCACCGCGTATTCATTTTTTTACTAATGGTACCGAAACACACGCTGAACAAGCTTACACCGCTCGGTGCTTCACGAGTCGCATTTCACACAAGACGCGCATAAAACCCGCATGCTAAACTCCGAAGTTCTTGCGATCAGCGATGGAAAACGTCGTGCGCCGTATGTACTTATGTACGCACATATAGATCAGCAGAGCCTTATTCGTTCCGAGCGTTTAGGCGGAGCTTAGAGTGGCGCTGCACCATCACCATTTACACTGCAATCTTATAGAAATTAGAAAACGGGACGTGTCCCGTCAAAAAATGCCAGCTGTTCGAACTAAATTTTTTCTTATGAGAATTAACATGAGAAAGCGCCACGCTGTGCTACGCTCTGGGCCAATACACAGTCACACGTTCTTACAGTCGTGCATTATAATTTACAGTGAATTATTTATTTAATGTGGACATATCCTTGTCGCTGAAAAGTGTTGCTATACATTCGCCATTTGAACTAGTCGCTTCTCACGAGCAGAAAAAAAGCAGCTCATACGCCTCAGTGCCATTGTTGGGAAAACTACTGTTCAAATTATTATATTGTTGGTGTTTTTTTATTTAATTATATTAATCAATTAAAGTGTTTTCAATCAAATAATAAGTGTGTAAAAGTTATCAGTGTGTATAAAATGGCATCAGACAAACGAATAGAGGCATCTACCACAGTTACTTCAGACAAATGCATTTACACGTGGACGATCAAGAACTATAGCTTGATAAAATTTAAAGTAGGAGAAATACTAGAATCTCCAAAATTTGGCGTTGGAAGTGATGATAAAAAATACTTCAATTTGCAATTATTTCCTGGAGGCGAAACAGAAGAAAATGCTGAATACATTTCTTTATATCTTAAACCTGTAATTAATTCAACGAAGAAACCGGATAAGCTCGTATGTAAATGGACATTATCATCTATTAATGATAAAAAAGTTGTTCATAAAAATATGTGGCATAACGATTTTGCGACCCATGACTTCGAAGGCCTAGGTTGCCCAAAATATCATGAATTATCAAAAATTGACCAACTGATTTCTTCCAAGAATACTGTAACTTTTCAATGTGAATTAGAAGTTCTCAATAAAATTCAAACATCATTGAATTCAGATATCATATGTAGGAAAGATGAAACAATTGATTCAATTTTTACAATAAAATTCAATTTTTTTTTTCTTAGTAAAGAACTGAGTGATGTTAAATTGATAGTTGAAGAAAAGGAAATACCAGCGCACAAATTTGTTCTAGCAGCGGTTAGCCCAGTATTTAGAGATATGATGGAAAACACTGAAAACTCTGTGAATATAACCGACATTACTAAGGATATTTTAACAGAAATGCTGAGGTACATCTACACTGGAGAGATTGCTGCTATCAAAACAGATGAAATAATTGAATTACTAGCAGTGTCTGACAAATATCAAATTGACAGTTTGAAATTCAAGTGTGGTAAAATATTAAGTGCTAACTTGTCCTCTGAAAATGCAGTTGACATCCTAATAGCAGCACATAAATACAAAGTAAAGCATTTGGAAGATGAAGTAATAAAGTTTGTCGCAGTTCACACTGAATTACTCTCTAATTCAAAAAAGATAAAAGAAAGAGACGATCATGATATATGGGTAAATTTAACCCAATCAATAGTTAAATCTAAAAAAAAAGTATTGTAACTCATTTTTGTGTTTAAAATCAGTTTTTAGTAAAGTTTAAGATTAGCTAATCAAGTATTTTTTAACTTATCATTCATATCAATGAAATCATAATTGATTTATTAAATACTTATGACTAAAGTCCAGACTTTTTGCATTAAATGCTATATTCATTTTTAAATTATTGTATTAAATTGTTTATTGTTCATGATTTTGTCTCAAAATGAAACTGAAAATATCATTAAGCTATTATCCAAGATCTATTTTATATATATTTTTGCAAGTTGTTTTATACTTATTGTTTATATTTTGTTATTCAATATCTAGTTCATTTCATGAAAAACAATTAAACAGAACTTTTTGTAAATTGCACTATAAGTATATCATATAATTATGATAAAATTTGTTGTCGCAATGTAAATAAATTACATAAGTACATGTTTTCAAAACTTCAGAATTTCATTGCCACCTTTATTCTATTATTTTACTTTAAATTCAATCAGTAATAAAAAAAGATGAAACAAAAAATTAGAAAAACTCTGTTCAGATGGAGGTACGCTACATTTTAAAAATGTTCATAAGCTAGTCTTGAAATTTGATTTGACGAACCAAATTTTTAGTTTCCTCAAGTTTTGCTTAACAAAAATAAACCTTTTCGCTTGAAGATAGTTCTTAGGAATTTAATAAATTGAATGCCTCCAGCACTCAAGTTCGTAAATAAATTAACATTTGAAAAATACTCGTGTCACTTTTGCTCAGTAGCTATAAGAAACCAATACATGAAAAAGTAATATGCGCCTATTCAAGCCTACCGAAAAGAAGTTTACAGTTATCGCGAGACCCTCATGTAGAGTGTGTTTAAAATGCATTTCTGGTTCAGAATTTAGAGTCTGATAAAAGGAAAGAGGGAGCGGCCAGTTAACACTTACTAGAAAAAAACTTTGAATAGCCCTCTACATGTACAGTTATACCCTGACGTTATTTTGTTCCAGTCCTATGTGTATTGTCAGTTTAATTGTTATTACTGCCATCTATCTTACACACACAAACGGACTCACTGTGTTATATTTACGCTCTCTACTTGGCACTTGGTACCCAGTCACATCGTCACAGTCAACACATTTGGACAGGCTCTCGCTTGAGATACGTATAAATCCGCACGCGAAAGTGAGAAATTTTTGCGCCCAGCAGCGGAAACGCCGTGCGATTGACGCTCGAAGATTAACAGTGCCTTCACCCACACATCTTACAAGATCAAGAGTTGAGCGTTGAAATTGACGGTTTTCCGCACGTTATACACATGTTTTTACCGCCGAAAAGTGTTGCTACTTTGAACGTATTTTGATCTAGTCGCTTCTCGCAAACAGAAACTAAATCAACCCATACACTGGCGAGTGATTGTTGTGAAAACCACTGCTAAATATTATCTTGTTTTTCCGTTGGTTCAATTTTATAGCGAATAACTCAGAGTTTCACTCAATCAAGAATAAAGTGTCTAAAAGTTATCAGATACTCGAGTCAAAATGTTACTAGGACAACGAATAGAGGCGTCCACCGAAGTTACTTCAGATAAGTGTGCTTTCACGTGGACAATCAAGAACTATCGCTTAATAAAATTTAAAGTTGGAGAAGTACTAGAATCTCCAAAATTTAGCATTGGAAGTGATAATAAGAAATACTTCAATCTCGAATTATACCCTGCAGGCAATAGTGAGAAAGATGCAGGATTCATTTCCTTATTTCTTACACCTGTAATTGATATAGAGAACGAACCGGATAAGCTCGTATGTAAATGGACAGTATCACTTGTTAAAGATAAAAAAGTAATTGAAAAATTTACGGGGCATTACGATTTTGCGGACGATGATTTTAACAGCCGTGGTTGGCCAAAATTTTATAAAGTGACAAAAATCGATGAATTGATTTCCTCCGATAATACTCTAACTATTCAATGCGAGTTAGAAATTCTTGATGAAATTCAAACTGTATTGAATTCAGATATCGTATGCAGTAAAGATGAAACTGTTTATACAATAAAATTTGATTTTTCATTTCTTAGTGAAAAACTCAGTGATGTTAAGTTGATAGTCGAAGAAAAGGAAATCCCAGCGCACAAAATTGTACTGTCAGCGTTTAGCCCAGTATTTAGGACTAAGTTTATATGTGATGTGTTGGAAAACGAAGAAAATTTTGTGAAGATAACAGACACAACTGCAAACGTTGTAACTGAAATGTTGCAATTTATCTACACCGGACAGATTAATGCAATTGACACATATATGCTTATTGAATTATTAGGTGTGGCTGACAAGTATCAAATTGACGGCTTGAAAGTCAAGTGTGGTAAAATATTATATGCTAACTTGTCTTCTGAAAATGCAGTTGAAATTCTACTAGCTTCTCATAAGTACAAAGTAGAGCATTTGGAAGATGAAGCAATAAAGTTCATGACAAATCACACCCAATTACTCTCCAATTCTAATAAGATGAAGAAAATAGATGATCCGGATATATGGATGAATTTAACCCAATCAATATTAAAATCTCGAAAAAATGTATCGTGTCTAGTTTGTCATCCAGAAAAACATAGCTAAATTATTAAATAATTGTGACTTAAAATCAGCATATCTGCAGGAAGAGCTTGGCAAGTTGGACAATACTAATTCTTTATGTTTCATTATTGAATGTATCTAGTTTTTTGCATAAAGAAGCATTTGATAAAAAACTTTTTGTAAATGTAGCACTGTAAGCATAAAATCTCATGTAGAACAGAATCTGTAAAATTTTTAAGTTTCAATGTAAATAAAGTGCGTACATTTTTAAATAATCATAGCTGCTCATTACCCAATACAGTTTATAATTTTATTTTGATTCAATTGACAATTAAGAAGAAACACAAAAAAGTACACACATTTTTTCAAAATGAAGGGATGCTATACCTAATGAATAATATTCTTGAAACATGATTTTATCATTCCAAATACGCGAATGTAAAAGAGATCGCCCTCGTAAATTGTAAAATCTGATTCAATCTTTTCTTCTCATTAACATAGATTTAAAGACATGGACAGGATAGTAACTATTGTATCTTATATTTTCTAGAACCATACAAATTTATAACAAAAAGAAAAGAGTTGATCTCAAGTCGTGAAAATCCTTGAATTCCGCGACTGTAAATGAAGTACATATCTCGATAGACGATTGATTTCGCTATTACCGAAAGCAAGTACATAAAAAATATTAATCGAGACTTAGTTCTTATTGGTTCGTAATATCCGAGCGATAAAAGAGTTGGAATATGTATTGTTGACTCTCATGGTTAATGCATTACGCCCGCGCGCGCATCCAAATATATAATTTATATATATATGGCATTCGCGCGCGCATCTCGTGAAATCCTATTACTCTTTGTTTATTGTATGTGTATGTGTGTGTGCGTGTAGCCCCTTTCGTGTCGTATTTTCTCGATTCTTCCTAATTAAACATCGCCATGCACGAATCATCATACATTTGCTCTGTTCCCAGTTATGCCGTATGCGCGCAAGCCGTTGTGTGGACGTGTGGCCCGGGGCCCCTGTCAATATGTAGTGCGACGATACACAAAGATCTGCGTGCCTTGTTTACTCGAGCGGCACTTTGGAATTCGCCGCATCAAGACGTTACTGTAGCGAAGTAAGGGCAGTGCCTATGCTTGCACGTGTACTGTTGTTATTGTTGTCGAGCATGTTATACACACAGGCGGCCCTACCTACTCTATTCACTTTTTTACTTGGTACCAAATCACACGCTGAACAGGCTTACACCGCTCAGTGCTCACGAGTCACGAGTCGCATCTCGCACAAGACGCACAAAAACACACACGCAGAACTCATAAGTTCATGCACATAGATCAGCAGAGCCTTATACAGAGTCACACGTTCTTATAAGATAAAGAGTTGCGAATTGAAATGTACAGTGAATTATTTATTTAGTGTGAACATATCCTTGTCACCGAAAAGTGTTACGTATATATTTTTGCCATTTGAACTAGTCGTTTCTTACGAGCAGAAAAAATCAGCTCATACGCCGCAGTGCCATTGTTGGGAAAAGTGCTGTCGAAACTATTATATCGTCTTCGCTTTTTGTTCCATTTTATTAAACATTAATTAAATTATCACTCAATCAAGTAATAAGTGTGTAAAAGTTATCGGGTGCTTGAGTCAAAATGTATTCAGAACAACGAATAAAGGCTACCACTAAAGTTACTTCAGATAAATGTATTTATACGTGGACAATCGAAAATTATCGCTTACTAAAATTGAAAGTTGGAGAAAAAATAGAATCTCCAAATTTTGGCGTTGGAAGTAACGATAAAAAATATTTTCAATTGTGGCTGTACCCTGCAGGAGACACTAAAGAAAGAGCAGAGGAACACCTTTCTTTATATCTCTATCCCATAATTGATTTCTCAAGCAAACGGGGTAAGTTCGTATGTAGAAGCACAATATCAGCTATTAATGGTAAAAAAGTTGTAAGACAATTAATATTACATCACGACTTTGCAACCACTGTCTTTGAGGGCTGCGGTTGGGCAAAATATTTTGAACTGGCCAAAATTGACCAACTGATTTCTTCCGAGAATACTGTAACTTTTCAATGTGAATTAGAAATTTTCGATGAAATTCAATCTTCATTGAATTCAGAAATAATCTGCAGTAAAGACGAGGTAATCGAAACAATAAAATTCGATTTTTCATTTCTTAGTGAAAAATTCAGTGATGTTAAATTGATAGTTGAAGAACAGGAAATCCCAGCGCACAAAATTGTATTGTCAGCGGCTAGCCCAGTATTTAGGGCCATGTTTACACATGATATGTTGGAAAACGAAGAAAATTCCGTGAAAATAACAGACGTATCTGCGAATATTGTTACTGAAATGTTGCGATTTATTTACACCGGACAGATGGATGCGACCGAAACAGATACGATTATCGAATTGTTAGCTGTGTCTGACAAGTATCAAATTGACAGTTTGAAAAACAAGTGTGGAAAAATGTTATGTGATGATTTGTCCACTGAAAATGCAATTGATATTCTAGTAGCTTCTCATAAATACAAAGTAAAGCATTTGGAAAATGAAGTAATAAAATTTGTCACGAATCACACTCAATTACTCTCCAATTTTGAAAAGATGACAAAAGTAGATGATCCCGTTATATGGGTAAATTTAACTCAATCAATATTAAAATCTCAAAAAAATGTATCTTAACTCATTTTTGTATCTAAAACTAGTTTTTAGTGAAGTTTAAGTAGTCTATCAAATATGTTTCAATCTATAATTGTTATCAATGGAATCATAATTAATCTATGGAATACTTGTAACTAAGTTCTACACTTAGTTAATAAATCTGCGTTCAATGGTTCATGATTAAGTGTCAAAATTAAACTACAAGTATTAAGGCTATTATCAGAGATTTGTTCTGGTTAATATTTTGTAAGTTGATTAATTCTGATTGTTTATATTTTGTAATTCAATATCTAGTTCATTCCATGAAAAACATTTGAATAGAACTTTTTGTAAAGCTAGTACTAGCTTATGATATGATAATAATACAATTTCTATAGTTTCAGTTCAAATATATTGCAGACTTTTTGCATTAAATACTATATTCGTTATTAAATTGTTTTGGTAAGTCTTGTATGGTTCATGATTTTGTGTCAAAATTAAACTAAAAGTATTGTTAAGCTATTATCCAAGATCTATTTTACGTATAATTTTGCAAGTTTTGTAATACTTATGTTTTGTAATTCAATATCTAGTTCATTGCATGAAAAACATTGAAACAGGACTTTTTGTAACTAGCACTATAAGCTTATCATATGGTTATAATAAAACCTGTAGTCGCAATGTAAATAAATTACATGAGTACATATTTTCAAATGCCTTTAGAAATTTATTGCCTCCTTTATTTTATGATTTTACTTTAATTCGATCAATAATGAAAAAGATGAACAAAAAGTTACAAAAATTCTCTCAGGGTTTAAAAATGAAGGCATGCTATATTTTAAAAATGTTCATAAGCTTATTCTGAAATTTGATTTCATCCTTCCAAATGCACGAATATAAAAGAGATCGTCCGCGTAAATTGTATAATCAAATTTAACTACTTATTCCGTTAATTCCAAGTCATGAACAAAATGTTTGTTTTTCTCAAGGTTTTTGTAACAAAATCGCTATGAACCTATTTGCTTTAAAATAATTTTTAAGAAAATGTCTCCAGCATTCGAGTTTATGAGTAAATTAAAATTTGAAAAAGACTCATCACTTTTGCTCGACAACTGTAATGAAAAAATAATATGCGCCTATCGAAGCATATCGAAAAAAAGCTCGCAGACATCGCGAGACCTTTATACAATTAGAGCGTGAGCAAAGTGCATTACTTATTCAGAATTTAGAGTCTGAATAGAGAGAAGGAGTGTTCAGCTAAGATCTACTGAAATAAGGTCATAAATATCACTCGGCGTATTGGGAAGTAATGTGTGCCTGTGATGGAGGAAAAACATAGCCGTCGTAACCGAGAATCCAATGCTTTCAAGTTCCACGGTTACAACGAACGTGTTGTTTACCCAGACCATAGGTACACATAACGTCCCATACGTCCTGATTTTATCATGTTCTAACCCTGTGTATAACCATTCAAATCGAGATTCATTCGACGGAATTTAAGTATTACGCTCAATTATCGGCGCTCGGGTGCTTCGCGGGTACAGCTTGCTCTGCACAATGAAAAAACAATATGATCATCCGCGTTAACGACGCCACGCATGAATCATCATATAAGACAAAATCCCTGTTTTCAGCTCTGCGCGCATGTTGATGTGTGAACGTGTGGACCCTGTCAATCATATAAAACGACGATGCAAGAAGATTTCGCGTGATTTGTTGTCTCGTGTGGCGCTTAACAATCCTCCGCAAGGAGACGTTACACTATATAAAACTTCTTATTCTGTTACAAGCATAGAGAAAGACTTTATAGCGAAGAAAGGGCGACGGGCTATGCCTACCCGTGTACTGTTGTTATGATTGGCGCGCTTGTTATACACGCAGGCGGCCTCACTGCAGCGCTGTATTTACTTATTTCTAGTTGATACCGAGTCACATATCCGCTACAAAATTCGCTCTCTAACATTTCATTTTCAATCTCCCGCCTCTTCAAAGCCCGTTAATGGCCGTATGACACAGAGCTTGCTCACTGTCGGAGCCACAGAAGAAGAAGAAGAAGAAGACATATCCGCTACAGCTACAGTGAACACGTTTCTGGCAGGCGTTGAGTTACGACTGTATCTCGCATATATATGTAAGACGTGTATAAATCCGCATTCCGCGCGCAGAACTCAGAAGTTTTTGCGGCCAGCAGTGGAAAACGTCGTTTAACTTACACTCAAAGATTAACAAGATTTACACAGTTACATTATACTTTCTTGCAGCATCAAGAGTAGCGCAGAAAAATTGGTGTATCTGACAATTGAAATCATATAAAGATAGTGTTGCTCAGCACGGCCGTTAATGGTGAATTGCTTTTTTAATGCGCACGTATTACTCATTCGCCGCAGTGCCATTGTTGCGACAAGTGCTGTCGAAACTATTACCTCGTCTGCGTTTTTTGTTTAATTTTACTAAACATCAGAGTTTCACTCAATCAAGTAATAAGTGTCTAACAGTTGTCAAATACGTTAGTCAAAATGTCATCAAAACTAAGAATAGAAGCTTCTACTAAAGTTTATTCGGATGAGTGCATTTATACGTGGACTATCGAGAATTATCGCTTACTGAAATTTAAAGTTGGAGAAAAAATAGAATCTCCACAATTTGGCGTTGGCAGTGATGATAAAAAATACTTCTATTTGCGATTATACCCTGCAGGCAGGGATGCAGAATCTGCAGAATACATTTCGTTATTTCTTACCCCTGTAATTGATTCAACGAAGAAACCGGATAAGCTCGTATGTAGATTGATTGTTTCAGTTATTAAAGATAAAAAAGTTGTTATAAAAAACAAAGAGCACTATGATTTTGCGAGTGATGGAAAATTTGTTGGCTTTGGTTGGTCGATATTTTATAAATTGGAAAATATTGACCAATTAATTTCTGCCGAGAATACTGTAACTATTCAATGTGAATTAGAAGTGTTCAATAAACATGAATCTTCATTGAAATCCAACGTTATCAACAGCAAAGAACAGATAATTGATAAAGTGAACTTGGACTTATTGTTTCTTGGTGAAGAATTCAGTGATATAAGAATAATAACTTCTGATGGAAATGACGTCCCAGCACATAAAAATATACTCGCAGCGGCCAGCCCAGTATTTAGGGGCATGTTTACTCATAATATGTTGGAAAATAAAGAAAATTCAGTGAAGATAACAGACACTACTAAAAATACTGTAATTGAAATGCTGAGATACATCTACACAGCTCGGGTTATTATCAACGAAGTAGATATTATTATTGAATTATTAGAAGTAGCAGAGAAATATCAAATTGATAATTTGAAAATTAAATGTGAAAAAATATTATGTTCTGATTTGTCATCTGAAAATGCTATCAAGATATTAATAGCTGCTCATAAATACAAAGCAAAGTATTTGGAAGATGAAACAATAAAGTTTATTACAACTAACACTGAATTACTCTCCAATTCTGAAAAGATGAAAGAAATAGGTGATTTTGATATAATGATCAATTTAATGCAATCAATAGTTAAATCTCATAAAAATAAAGTTTGATTAGTTAATCAAGTATGTTGTAACTTATCATTTTTAGATAATCAATGTTATATTCATAATTAAATTGTTATAATAAATCTTTGACGGTTCATGATATGATGTTGAAATTAAGTTTAAAATTTTAAGCTATTATCTGAGTTCTAAAGATACCATTTGGAAAGTTGATTAATACTGATTGTTTATGCTTTGTAATTCAATACCTAGTTCATTGTATGAAAAGCATTTGAATAAAACTTTTTGTTTAACTATCACTACAATCTTATGACGTAATTATAATACAATTTGTAAAGATGCAATGTAAATTAAATGCTTACTAACAAATTAAATATTTTTAAATGATTTTAGAAGTTTATTGCCTCCTTTATTCTAATAATTGCAAAAATTGTGTCAAGATGTAGGGATAGTATAATTTAAAAATGTTCATAAGCCTATCTTGAAATTTGATTTTATCACTCCAAATGCATGGATATAAAAAAGAGATTTTTTCTGTCAATTGTAAAATCAGATTTAACCACTTGTTCTGTTAACATAGATTTTAAGTCACAAACAGGATAGTAACCTTTGTATCTTATAAACTATATTTTCTAAAACTGTACAAATTTATGACAAAAAGAAAACAGTTGATCTCATGTAGTGAGTAAATAAAAAAGAGAAACTTTAAATTCTGCAACGGCAGATGAAATAAATATCTCGAAAGACGACTGATTTTGCCATTACCGAAAGCAAGTCCATAAAAAATATTAATCGAGACCTAGTTCTTATTTGTTCGTAAAGTCCGAGCGTGTGCGTGTAGCCCCTTTCGCGTCGTATTTTCTCGATTCGTCCTAATGAAACATCGCCACGTACAAATCATCAGACATTAGCCCTATTCCCAGTTATACGCGCATGTCGATGTGTGAACGTGTCCCTGTCAATATGTAGTGCGATGATACACGAAGATTTTGCGCGCGTTGATGTCTCGAGCGGCGCTTTGGAATTCTCCGCATCAAGACGTTATTCTAGCGAAGCAACGGCATAGGCAGTGCCTAATCACGCGCTGAACAGGCTTACACCGCTCAGTGCTCGCGAGTCACGAGTCGCATCTCACACAAGACGCACAAAAACACACACGTTCTACTCGGAAGTTCTTGCGCCCAGCAGTGGAAAACGTCGTGGGACTTCATAGGTCCGCAGGGCCTCATCACAGTCACACGTTCTTACAAGATAAAGAGTTGCGCATTGAAATGTACAGTGAATTATTTATTTAGTGTGAACATATCCTTGTCACCGAAAAGTGTTACGTATATATTTTTGCCATTTGAACTAGTCGTTTCTTACGAGCAGAAAAAATCAGCTCATACGCCGCAGTGCCATTGTTGGGAAAAGTGCTGTCGAAACTATTATATCGTCTTCGCTTTTTGTTCCATTTTATTAAACATTAATTAAATTATCACTCAATCAAGTAATAAGTGTGTAAAAGTTATCGGGTGCTTGAGTCAAAATGTATTCAGAACAACGAATAAAGGCTACCACTAAAGTTACTTCAGATAAATGTATTTATACGTGGACAATCGAAAATTATCGCTTACTAAAATTGAAAGTTGGAGAAAAAATAGAATCTCCAAATTTTGGCGTTGGAAGTAACGATAAAAAATATTTTCAATTGTGGCTGTACCCTGCAGGAGACACTAAAGAAAGAGCAGAGGAACACCTTTCTTTATATCTCTATCCCATAATTGATTTCTCAAGCAAACGGGGTAAGTTCGTATGTAGAAGCACAATATCAGCTATTAATGGTAAAAAAGTTGTAAGACAATTAATATTACATCACGAATTTGCAACCACTGTCTTCGAGGGCGGCAGGGGTTGGGCAAAATATTTTGAACTGGCCAAAATTGACCAACTGATTTCTTCTGAGAATACTGTAACTTTTCAATGTGAATTAGAAATTCTCGATGAAATTCAATCTTCATTGAATTCAGAAGTAATCTGTAGTAAAGACGAGGTAATCGATACAATAAAATTCGATTTTTCATTTCTTAATGAAAAATTCAGTGATGTTAAATTGATAGTTGAAGAACAGGAAATCCCAGCGCACAAAGTTATATTGTCAGCGGTTAGCCCAGTATTTAGGGCCATGTTCACACATGATATGTTGGAAAACGAAGAAAATTCCGTGAAAATAACAGGCATATCTGTGTATATTGTCACTGAAATGTTACGATTTATTTACACCGGACAGATTGATGCGACCGAAACAGATACGATCATCGAATTGTTAGCTGTGGCTGACAAGTATCAAATTGACAGTTTGAAAAACAAGTGTGGAAAAATTTTATGTGATGATTTGTCCACTGAAAATGCAATTGATATTCTAGTAGCTTCTCATAAATACAAAGTAAAGCATTTGGAAAATGAAGCAATAAAATTTGTCACAAATCACACCCAATTACTCTCCAATTTTGAAAAGATGACAAAAGTAGATGATCCCGTTATATGGGTAAATTTAACTCAATCAATATTAAAATCTCAAAAAAATGTATCTTAACTCGTTTTTGTATCTAAAACTAGTTTTTAGTGAAGTTTACTTAGTTAATCAAATATGTTTTATTAACCTATCATTTTTATCAATGGAATCATAATTAATCTATGAAATACTTGTAACTAAGTTTTACACTTTGTTGATAAGTCTTTGTTCAACGGTTCATGATTAAGTGTCAAAATTAAACTAAAAGTATTAAGGCTATTATCCGAAATTTGTTCTGCTTAAAATTTTGTAAGTTGATTAATTCTGATTGTTTATATTTTGTAATTCAATATCTAATTCATTCCATGAAAAACATTTGAACGGAACTTTTTGTAAAGCTAGTACTATCAGCTTATGATATAATTATAATACAATTTGTATAGTTTCAGTTCAAATATATTACAGACTTTTTGCATTAAATGCTATTTTCGTTATTAAATTGTTTTGGTAAATCTTGTATGGTTCATGATTTTGTGTCAAAATTAAACTAAAAGTATTATATCCAAGATCTATTTTACGTATAATTTTGCAAGTTTTTTAATACTTATGTTTTGTAATTCAATATCTAGTTCATTGCATGAAAAACATTGGAACAGAACTTTCTGTAACTAGCACTATAAGCTTATCATATGGTTATAATAAAATCTGTTGTCGCAATGTAAATAAATTACATAAGTACATATTTCCAAATGCCCTTAGAAATGTATTGACTCCTTTATTCTATGATTATATTTTCTAAAACTATACAAATTTTGTGACAAAAAGAAAAGAGTTCATGTAGTGAGTATTTACTCACGTAGTAAGTAAAAAAAAGAGAAACTTCAAATTCTGGAAAAGCAAATGAAATAAATATCTCGAAAGACGACTGATTTTGCCATTAACGAAAGCAAATGCCCAAAAAATATTAATCGAGACTTAGTTCTTATTTGTTTGTAAAATCCGAGTGATAAAAGAGTTAGAATACGTACACGTCTCGTCGCTTCGCGCCCATCATTCGCATTGTTGACTCTCATGGTTAATGCATTACGCCCGCGCGCGTATCCAAATATATGCCCGAAAGGCTGCGGGGATACATTATACATATATAGGGTGACGGCACCAATGAATGAATGACCCCCAATGAATGAATGACCAAGAAAAGATTAAAATTAAAACATGAAAGGAAATTTTAACCCATGTCAAAAAATTATTTTTATTTTATTGATGCTTGAAGTTTGAAATACTATGATCAGTTTTAGTTAAACTAGCTTCACTTTTTCACAAAAATTCCTATAGAGTCGATAGTGAATGAATGTATTCATTTACATGGATAATGCGACTTGGCACGGCGCGATACCAGTAAATGAAAAGACAATGTTTTTGCCGTCCCGCCAACGTTTGAGGTTAGGTCGCAGACGATGTATGCAGGGCGCAGTGCGTACATCGTTTGGATTTACGTTAATTATAGGCTAATTTAACTTAATTTAAACTAGTTATTAAAGATGGCTAAAACCGAAACGAACAATAAAAACGTAAAATAAAAACTGTGAAAAAAACTGGACATAATGTCGATAAGATTCTCAACTTGTCAATGCTCTCTCATAATATAATTCATTCATTCACTGGGTCCAGAGTATTCATTGATTGGTTCTTTACCATTCATTCACTGGGGTACCTCATTTTATTGAGTTATATCATTTATAACTTTATGAAATATTATTTTTCATGTATTTCAATTTTTTTATTTATGAAATAAGTCCTAACGAACACAAATTTGAATGCACGCTAGGGATTAATGCAAATTTAGATTTTAAATCAATTGATTATAAGCATAATTTTGTGAATCCATTCATTCACTGGTGCCGCCACCCTATGACATTCGCGCGCGCATCTCGTGAAATCCTATTACTCTTTGTTTATTGTATGTGTATGTGTATGTGCGTGTAGCCCCTTTCGCCGGTCGTATTCTCTCGATTATTACATCCCTTTTGTGTACGGTCCAGTCGTCGTTTTGTGCGTTCTCTATATAACTGTATACTAACAACAGTACATACAGCGAGAGAGAGAGGAAGAGACGTCCTTTGCAGTGGAAACGCGCGTCAGCGGCAGACGATACTCCGTGTATATACAGCCGCGCGTACACTACTCTGGCCTTTATAGTGCCCAGTCATATAAGTTCTGTCGCTGTGTGTTGGTATACGTAAGTGCACGTCTATATGTGCGCGGCTGTTTGCTCACGTCGCGAAAGACGTTGCGCATCGACTCTGCGCCTGAGCCTTGGTTGATGCGCGTTACATGCACACTTCCTTACAAAGAATATATTGTGTGTATATAATGTACCGGGGTAAAAACGCGATGTAACGTCTTCGAGGTGACAAATTTTCCGTACACATTTGTGTGGATTTTCTTTCTATTATCCCATTAAGTCCCAAGAGGACGTTTTTTCAACACTTCATTCGGCCACTGTATTTGTGGTGTAAATGGGGTCAAAAAAATATGCGAGTAACTAATTCTAATGTAAAATTTAATGCCCTTTCAGAATCTGATCTCAGATTTTTGAAAAAGTGATCAGGTCAAAAGTTACACTTGATTTTACCCAAAAAAACATGATTTTTAAAAAAAATTTTTTTTTATTTTTCGAATTTCCAAATGAAAACCATTAGAAATCTTAGGGGTATCGTGCAAATATCGCGTCCTCGATACCTAAACTAAAAGTTAGTGGGGTTTAGATTGAATAAAATAAAGTTAAAAAATACACTTTTTTCTCAAGTCCTTCGTTTTTGAGTAAAAATTCTATAAGTTTTCATTTAATTTTGCTAGTTTCGACCGACATTTTTTCTGTTTAAACATTAATTTTTTCAATCGGTACCCCGCTAACTTTCAATTTAGATATCGAGGACGCGATATTTGCACGAAACTCTTGAGATTTCAAATGGTTTTCATTTGGAAATTCAAAAAATAAAAAAAAATTTTTTTTAAAAATCATGTTTTTTTGGGTAAAATCAAGTGTAACTTTTGACCTGATCACTTTTTCAAAAATCTGAGATCAGATTCTGAAAGGGCATTAAATTTTACATTAGAATTAGTTACTCGCATATTTTTTTGACCCCATTTACACCAAAAATATAGTGGCCGAATGAAGTGTTGAAAAAACGTCCTCTTGGGACTTAATGGGTTATACACGGGGCAATTCGCGCGAAATGCATTTTATATGAGATAAAAAAAAACAATTACGGTTACAATAAAGGACTCCTCTGGAGATGTATCAATAAAATCGTAGATAGTATACCCAATCATCGTCGTGGAGGCTCTCTCACGTGTAAGGAGCCCGATTATCCCGAACGAGTCCATAAATGAAGACTCCGAGCTGTCTCGATTGTAAAAAAAAAAATAACTTACCAGGTGGTCCCGGAGGTCCAGGCGGTCCCTCGAAGACTCCGGTGGCGAATGGCTCGCCGTTTATCGACGTCGTCAGTCCTCGCTCGCCCTTGTCGCCCTTGTCGCCCTGCGGATGCCAAAAAACACAAGAGGGAATTAGTCGATTTTCACGCTCGATATTTACGTAAGGGGGTGGGGGTGAAAAATGAGTACGAGAAGATTTCTCGATAATTATGTCGAAGAGCACCAGAATAAATGTATGTAAGTGTAAACAAATATCTACGGATTATGTATAACTTTAGACTCACACAGAAAGTACGATAGATAATAACCTTATTTCCCAGAGAAGAAAAGAGATACAGTCGTTTCATCTACGTCAGTTAAATGAGAATGTTTTTCGGTACGTTAATAAAAGTCGCACAACGAGTACTATATTTTCATCGGTAAAGAGATTGCCAAGAGCTCGATGCTCGACGCACTTTCGTTTCGATCAAGCGATTTCAATCAAATATAGTGAAAGAACATTAATAATGTTACTCTCTACGGGGCCAATGTACACGGAAAAGAGATACTGTGCGTGGAGCTTGCACATGACAGCATTGAAAATTGCTAAAACTATCCACCATCGTTCGCAGTATATGAATTATTTTTTCCGCGGTATCATATAGAGGCCATTTAAACCGTACGGAAACTCAAGGCAGCGCAATGCACGGCCAATCAATTCACACAAAAGAATCGCATTGTAGTAGCTGCATACACGAGTATTTATAGAGAGAAATCGACCACGGGTCCGTTTAAGTACAAACACGTGCTGCTACTGCTGCTGTACGTATATAATGCGATTCGTCGATAAGCGCGCACGAGGCGGATTAAATAATAGTCCGTACGTTACAAAGTACCGAATGCCTTTTGTTAATTAGACCGAAAGAGCCACGCTAATTCTCGGAGGTGAACGAGCGCGCGGAGAGTTAATTTCGTATATATATTGGCAAAGGAAGAGAGCGGAATCGATGACATCGAAAGATTGCCAGCTGCGTTGCATATAGCCGCGAGGTTGATTTCGCGCATTGCAGCATCTCGTTTGTAAGCGGCTCGTTGCTTTAATATATAATGAAAACACGTGGTGGCATAACTTCGGTATCTGATGCGACCGTGCGCGCACCGGACATTTTTATGGCGCGTTAGATTTTCTTTCGTGAGCGAGGCATCGCGATGATACACTGCACTACTACTCGTAGGACCAAGGACTATCCTTCGTTTATTTCTGCTCTTTTGAATTTGGAGCGTACGAATTTATTAGCCGTGCGTCCGATAAGGTACGTGGAAATGCAAGAAGAAAGAGTAATTGGACCGACACCGGAAAAGCTCTACCGATGACTAGTTGCGATACCTCATGTGTTGTTAATTTTTTTTTTAATGCACACATTTTTTTCTTTACAGAGAGAGGTCAAGAGGCTATATCTATTAGATAAAGCACACAGGATATTACAAATTTTCTATGTTATAGAATACTAGAGTATCATTAGTAACGAATTATCCCAACAAAACCAAGTATTTTTTTCAAAGTAATCAAATCTCACAGGTAATCCGGGGAGTCCTGGTAAACCTGGTGCACCGTATCTTCCTTGTTCTCCCTAAGAAACAATAGCATCAGAATATCGTGTGTATTGTGTCAAGTGGTGATGATTTTATTATTATTATTATTTTTTAATTAATTTTTTCTTCACAACGACGCCTGAATCTTTTAATAAAATGTACCGTTGCTATTGTGCAGCTTCAATCAAATCAAGACCAGCGCGGCAAACGGGAAAGATGAAAAAAAAAAAGAAGAAAAAAAGAAAAAAAAGCACGTCTTGATTACCTTTGCTCCTGCGATGCCCGCTGGTCCTTGAGGTCCCTCGGGACCCGCCGGTCCTGGCGCGCCTTTTTCGCCGGCGGGTCCGACTTCGCCCGGCGGGCCCTGCCTGCCGTCGCTTCCGGATTCTCCTCGATCGCCCGAGGGTCCCGGTGGACCGGGTGGACCTGGCTCTCCTTGCTCGCCCTGCGATTTCATATACAAAATGCTTTGATCAGATTCTCGGGATCGATTGATTTTTCTCGATAAAGAGTGAGTGAAACGAGGCATTAACGAAGACTTTGATTTTTCGCTGAACTTATGCGGCATTTTACAGTTGCCGAATGCATGCGAATTATTTTTTCAACCACAAATTTACAGAACAATAAGATTTCGAACGGTTATATATTTCAGAGTAATTTGAAAACGAACAATTAATAAAAAAAGAACATGAAATTTATCAGAGAATTTAGAAATTCATGCGTATTGTTAGAACAAAGTTTTGAATTTAGTTACTTTAAAAATTATCATTTTCAATTTTAAAATGAACAAGTATATAAATCAGAAGTTTATAAATCAAAAATTATTCATTTTTGAAAACAAATCTATTTGAAATTGAACTCAAAGGTTTATATTCGTACACATGCAAAAATCATGTTTAACTAGAGTAAGCAGTAAATAATTTTCTACGAAATCTTCACACTCAACATCAAGTAAAAAAAAGTTATCAATGCATCATGCTATCGGACGACTAAATAAGCTTTACATTTATCGTTTATTTTTTTCATTGGATCTGGTACGTATGAAACAATTGACAAATTCATTTAATTACACGTCATTATTTATGTTTATGATCTTTTATCCAATCAGTTTGAATTAAAAATTTATTTTCAATAAAAAAAAACTGGATGTGTCTTCGGTATAGGAAACTTATTATAATCCAGATTTGAAAGTTAAGCGAACTTACTTTAAGCGTAATGATCTGCGCTGCGCTGATATTAGCACCCAGCTCCTTAAGTTCCTAGAAAGTATGCCAACTACTGGTAAAAACTAAATTTCTACGACACAACTTAATAAAATTAATCAACTTAAAATAAAATATGAGGTCAGGAAGTAAGGTATAGGAGTGAGGTTTTCCACGTTTGTGGCAGCTACGTGAGGATTTGACTTCATGTCAAACAATACTTTTTCGTTACATTTTGGATTGCAGGGTGCAAATGTTTTTTTTAGACGTACCATTACCAATCAAAATATTTTGACAGCTAATCGGGACCATATTGAATGTAAAAAACTTTTCACTCTTATGGGAACAGTTCAAATCGAACAGTGTATATAGAAATATTCATCAAATAATCCGAAACGGAAAAATTAAACAAACCTGCATGCACCAAATATAAAAACTACGAGCAAAACATGCATAACAGATCAACGAAAATCCTAAAAAACGGATCCGATACATATACGAAGATTTTTTTGGGATGGAGTACAAATCAAGAGATAATTCAGAATAAAATGATTTTTGAAAAAATCATCGCTACTGATGTAAGTTGTACACCTACACCGAAATTACAAAAACAAACTAATAATTAACATCCATCTATATGTTTACTTTCAGTAAAAAAAAAACCATATTCGAAAGAAAAATTACAACGTACAACGAAAAAGCCAGAAAAAACCAACTAATCGAGCGATTTCTGCCGTCGATTACCTTTAGCGCGACGATTTCCGCATAGCCTAGCGTTCCGCCGCGCAGTGTCGTCACCGACCTCTTTAAACCCAATCCCTGTGCATTGACCCGTAAATGAAAAAAAAAGTTTACTTATTTTTGCTGTTTACATTGTACACATTGGATATTAAATCAGATGAGAGAGAGAGAGAGAAAAACCAATAATTTCTTTGTACGACAAAGGCGCAAATCCTTGTATTCAATGAATATTCTTTGTCTGAATGAAAAATACATGAATGAATAAACTTGTATAAAATAAAAAAAGATTAATTACTCCGTATCGGTTTATGAAGCACTCAAATGAATAAAATAAAAAAGGTTAATTGAGTTACCGGTTTTGCGAGCAATTTTTATCTCATTAACGCGTTTTAGTGCGAAAGGCACTTTCATAGGCGTATCTTTATCATCGGCAATTCGTTTAAGCACCGATCGATTTTAACCGCGAATCGATTACGCAAACTCACTACTGGATACGCTGCGGCAAATAAATACTATATATAGTGAGCAAACATACAAGATCTATCGTGCGAATTAATAGCGGCGATTACATCTGTACGTAAAATCGCACAACTTTGATGTTTCTCGGATGCGCATTGATATATAAAGAAGCTTTTATTTCTTTTTTTTTTTTGCTCTTTTGAAGTAATCTCTCGAGATTATTATTTATAAAAGGCGTGACCGTGCCACACAAGAGTTAATAATGTGCAGTGCTGCTGTGGCAAACAACGACAATTTGTATTAATGTAATGGAAATTTTATTCATGATCTATCGTAAAAAAAGGGTTGCGGTACAGTAGATGGAAAAGTGCAAAAACTATATTATGGATAGAGTTCGAACACAAGATATATGTATGACGATATCATTGTTTTTGCTTTCTAGACAAGGTGAAATTTTTAGTTAAAGTGTCAATTTTGTTTATTAATTGATGATAAAATATTCTTCTCAAAAATTAAATTAACTACTTAACTCTATTTTAATTATAAAAATTTGATAGATACCTTTACAGCGGAGAATACATCGAATCCTGGATTTCCAAGCTCTCCTTTTTGTCCTTTATCGCCTATCCGTCCCTGTGTCAATCATAATTAGCGATCGATATAAGCTTTTAATATTTCAGAACATATATTTTAAATATAAAGTGATTTTCACTTTCTTCGTTTTAGTAGTCAATTATTACATTTTTTAGCGTTATTTTATCTACGAGTTAAGCAAAAGTTCGACTTACCGGCTCTCCTTTGGGTCCATCCATACCAATAGGGCCCTGAAATAAGGAAAATCTTAGAATTCAGGTTGGTGTGGAATTTTTAAGCAATGTTGAAAATGTTAATATTATAGCAAAATCTTAAATACTTCAAAATTCATTCATGAAAACGCTATCAAAAAAAAAAAATAATCGCACAACGAAAAAGTCTGTTAAAATCTAAAAGCAATTTACAAGCAAAAAATCGGTAAGTAAAAATATTATCAATTATGTATATGCCTTCAAGTACGTGATCATATTTGTATACAACGGCAATGCAAGAAAAAAATGAGATATTTTAAAATAATTAACTTCTTGACAGTTATCACCATGCGCCACCATCACCATCTTAATTTGTCTGAAATAAAAATATTTTGTTAGGTACATTAATTCTGTTCTTGTTTGTAACGCAAGGATAATTAGACCCACATACCATAACATTTTTGAGTAATATTACACATTATACCTTATGGTATTATATTTTATTCGGATTCATGTGAAAAAAGTTATACTGTATTGTATAATAATTAATACGGGAGTATTACTTGCTATTATACTTGAAACAAGAAATTTAACGAGATCAAACGATTTTTATTCTCGTAACTCTCTGTTTTATGAATATAATTATTATTTCTTAATTGTTTATCGTATTGAATATTTAATAGTTTTTAGACACGTTAATATTAACGTTGAAAATCTAAATTTGTTTATTTTATTAGAAAATTTATTTATACGATTTCATAATCGGATTTTAAGATTTTTACGTGAACTTTGAGTTATAAAGAAAGTTGCGTGATTCCTTTAAATCCGTCAGCTTTCTCGTTTATTTCTGGAAAAATCTTTTACATAACAGTGTATTTATGATGTTCTGCTATCAATTGTTTTTTTTATTAACTATTTATCAATAGTTTTAATGAAAAACGTTACTGAAATTTTTTAAATAAAATTTACTGTTTGAAGTGAATATGAATAAGCGGATGATGAATGAACAGTATTTTGTAACTGTAGCGCGAAGTTGATGAATGTTAGCTTATACCATGATACATTGTATATAATTATTCAATACTTTTTTGAGAGAATCCGAATATTGGATTTTGACAAATGAGGTAATTTTTCATTATAACGCGTAAAAATAAAAACTACATCAATTTACATCTTGTTTCGAAAACACCTTGTTATATGAATTTATGATATGCAAAAACAGCAAGGAATTTAATATTACTTTTGGTAATTTCAAAAATTATAATATAACCCGTTCGTAATCGTTTTTATCATTTCACAAATGTGTTTTGTACATAGAATAAAGATTTTTTATATCAATTAATAGAGAATGTATTGAAAGTGATACTACAGGTTTCCCAATATTCGGATATTACTACTTAAAAATCTGAATAGTCCATTTTTCAGATATTTTTGAATGATCTCGGGGCTCATCATTTGCTCAATAGAAAAACCATTCTACATAGTCATCATATAAAAAAATTACTTTACATCACAGCTAGAGGAAAGTAAGTAATCGAAAAACCAAAAACCAGCAATCCATGTTATTAGCAATCATAGGTTTTGAACTTATCGAAGAAAATGTGAAAAATATAGAATTTTTTAATCATTGCATAGTGAAAAAATGAAAAGTTTTTAAAGCATTGGATAATTTTCTAAAATAGGCCGCGGAGTAATGATCATTGCTTATTTAAATGGAGTGATCGGATAGAAATAAAGGATATGAAACTTGTCAAATAACAAACCGGGAACCCAGGATAGCCGCGACGTCCGTCGGGTCCCTGCAACAAACCATCGTAACAAATTTCATACAAAACGATTTTGATAACCATTTTTGGGCTAAATTTATTTAAATGTTTTATTATATTATCATCTATTTTCTGTTACCAAAGATATCTGTTTATAAGATTATATTTAGTAAAATTTTAATATTGATTGTATGATTGTACAAATATTCATTATTTTCGAGAAACATTTCATGGAATCATTTTTTCAATAGTATCGAATTAATTCCGTAATAGCATAGTATGACCGTGTAATTCAGCATGTCTTTATGAAAAAGAGTTCTAATTACTTCAGATAAGTAAATACTTAAGATAATTTTGATAATCAATCAAAATTTTTCGGATTTTAATTTAAATTTCTACACAATTTTTAACTCAAATAACATATATTTTCATTGTTGAAGAATTTTATCAAAGTAATATATAATTGCAGTGAAATATGTTTGAAATGTCGATAATTGTATACTAAATTTACATTAGAGAGGATTCCACGCAACTAAAATCAACGAGTGAGATTTTTATTAAAACGCACTCGGCCGGTTCTCATCAACGACTGTTTCATTTCTATGTGTAAACAACGTCAAAGGATTTAATACAATGTGGCAAAACTTTTTATTATTTACGTTATAACATGCACATTTTCATAAAATGTGCCCAAGATTACCTAATAATACCTGGCTTCATTTTAATCCACGTACGCGCGTTGCTTTGTTATCAGCTTTTTCACAAGTTTCTTTTAGAATTTTAATTACGGTCTGTGTCTTCTTTATTTTTAATTAAAAAATGCACATTATGAATTATGAAAATATTTTTATTTAGCTCGATGAAATATTGAGACCTCAAAGCTGTTAGGTCATTTAAAAATTCTCAAATTTAATGAAATTTTATAATCATTTGTTGTAAATATTTTCTTAACATTGGTAACTATTTTTTCTTACAGTTTTATAATAGATTGACTTTTAATGAATTCTATTATGCTTTGTTTAAAATATTTTATTCTATTTATATTTGTAGTTTTTAAAAAGTCTCTTTCGAGTTTATTTATGTGGATACTATATACTTGTCATTGAATTTGTATACGTAAATATTGTTATAGCATGTGAGATTAAACGAGATTCTGGAATTGATGTCTACTTTAACTTGTTAATCACTATTTGGAATGTATTTTTTCCCAAAAGTTCAGATTTAATTTATTTAAAATTGATGTTACATCATTCTTACCATTGGTCCTAATTCGCCAGGATCACCTTTGAGTCCCTGAAATATGTAATTAATTGAATCAATTTTAAAAATCTTGTGTGATACACGTTATTATACACCGTTAACCCTTTTGTTTTATCCATTTTTCACTTGCACTGTCAGTAAGTGTAATCTAGTATTTGAAAGCATATTTCAACCTTTAAAATTAAGTTTTTCGATATAAAATTGTTAGTAATTTGTAAGAAAATGAAGCAAAATTAGAAACAAATAAAAAACCAAAATACCGGAAAACCATTCATGCCCGATGTACCAGGAGCACCCTGAAAGAAGTATTGTTAAATATCATTGTTAAAAGAAGGTATTTTTTTGTCCCCAGATACCAGCTAGGACGATTTCATCTAATTCGTTATTCATTGCATATTCCGAAGGTAAAACGGAATTCCATTAAATTTCTCAAAAAATTAGTCTAAAATTGGATGTAAATAATAAAAAAAGCCATTGTCTTCAAACTCAAATTTCTTTTGTAAATTACTTTTAACTACAAATTTAATCCTACTATATTAGTATATCTAGTAAATACTTTTATCTACTCTTTATAAATCATAAATGAAAGAAAATCTATCGAATCAAATTGTTATTAATCAACAAAGGAAAAGGACAAATGATATGCATTACATGACTTTCAAGCGTCAAAACATTACAAAGTAAAGTCTACAAATTGATAAATAATATTCAATATTTCAAGAGTCCACACATATGTTTTTTTGAAATTTTAAAAACCTTTACCCAAATACAAAAGCATTCAATGCTTACGAGTATAATAATATTAAAAATAAATAAAAGTATCAACTTACCGGCGCACCCGGTTCGCCTGCATCTCCTTTTTTACCCTTTTTGCCGCGTTTGCCAGCTGGTCCTGGTGGTCCTGGTGGACCTGTAACATCATTAAAATGTTTATATTAATGAGAAAGTTCGAGGAGACAGCATCTTTATTGACAAGTTGTTGCATTCTCATTTACAGTACTTATTTATATAATGCAAAAAACATCTTGCACAATTGTAGTAAAAATTAGAATCAAGTTTAAATTACTCGGAGCAATATTAATTTTCAAAAGAAATTAACCGCTGAAATGCTCATGGCATAATCAGCGGAAAACTCGGATACTGTCGTCTATCATTGAAACGATTTTGCCGTTCATATCGCAAAGCTGCGTGTATCGATTTTTTCCGCTCTTACTTTTTGCGCTCATCAGTATAACGTGTAGTGAAATGAGATAATGATAAACGTTCTTTAATCGTAGCTGCTTGACTCTCGTTTTACGTCGGGGCACACGGCAAAGTGCAAAAGAAAAAGAAGGAAAAAATGTTCGTCATTAAAGAGCAGAGAAGAGGGTGGCGCGCAACTTCCGCGTACTTACTACTTTTTAACACAAGACTTGCCCGGACCTTAAAAGGCAACATAAACTTCATTAACTTTCATTCTCATTTTCTAGTCATCTTCACTGTGCTACCGCTGCTCCGCGCGCTACAACAACCTTTTATTTCCATTTTTCAAGTTGTTTTTTCTTTGCGCCTCTGTGTGTGTGTGTGCTTGTGTGTGGATGTGCACCAGTTTTGCCTCTAGAAAGTTTGCTATTTCTTGGAGTCTGCTGCTGTTTCATCTTTGAAACGCTTAACAAGTACAATTGCGCGCGCCGGACTAGCTGAAATCACTTGAAAGCTTTAATTTTTAACGACTTGCTGCGTCGCAAAAATATTTTGTCTTGCATCGATATTTTCAAAGCTTTTTTAAGCTATCTTAGAGCGTCTGTCTTTATTCGTCGTTAAATTATTTAAAAATTGATTGAAAGTCACGAATTAAAGTTAATAATTTCAGTTTAATTCGTACTTGTAACCATTTCTTCACTCCGATTCATTTGCATCTCAAGAGATTTGGAATAAGCAGCGATGAAAATTCCACCCTTGCCACATTTCGCGCGCAGCTCGAATGGAAAATTGATTTGCATAGGCGATTCCGATTATTATTCAGGTTGTTATCGAGACTACTATTTTAATTGGCGTCTTATGAATAAAAATCTTCTCGACTCTACTTTTTGTTCGCCAAGAATTATTTTCAATATTTATCAGAGCGCGTTGACGTTTTATTAATTTTCGTTTCCTCGAGCGCGATCTCAATTAAATCATTAGCGAAAAATATTGTTCAAAACTGGACGCAAAGTTATAAGGAAGGATAAGGTCGTGCTACGAGTCTCGCAGGTACACCCGTATATAGGAAAAATGCTTTTAATTAAAGCGACGCAATACCCGAAGGAAGCAAAATATGTCTAGACGAAAAAAGAGGAGCCCACCGCAAATGACTGCTAAGCTGCGAGGGGGTATGCCGATATATATACGTACGCTCATTCAGCAACAGCAGGAGTGAATTCTCGATCTTTATCCGTCGAAGAAAGATAGATCTTATTTTCTCTCGACGATCTAATCGAGAGAAGGAGCCGGCCCCCACGAGTGCAGCAGCAGAAACTCCGTACGCTCGTGAACCGGCATTTATCCTCGGGCTGTCGGCGCGGCGGCGGCGAATCTCGTAGCTCGAAAATTCAATTCAAGTCGCATATATGTATATATGTATGTAGGAGACGAGGATGGCGTATTTTAGAGACGAGACTCTTAAAAAACTCAGGTTCGGTATCTTGCGTTTGCTCGAGCGGCTCTTGACTTTTTTTCTCCGTTTGTTTTTAACTATGTGGCTAAGGGGGATATTATAGAAAAATTTTGAGCGATACGCGTTGAATGATATATCGTTTCGATCGTTTTGCTTCGGTAGATTGATTATCGTTTCACGCGAAAAAGTATATGAAAAAAAAAAAAAAAATAGATAAACCAGTTGCATAAGAACCGATACAAGTTAAATTTGAATGTTCAATTCAACCAAAATGTAAGAGGTATCTAATGTTCCACTGTATATTAGACAATAAAATCACTATTTTTAGCCGTAAGAAGTTTCACATCGAAAAAAAAGGCAAGGATTAACTTTGAAACGATCTGCTGCTGCGATATAACGTTTTCATTATGTTGTTTTGTCGAGCAGAGCATGATCATGTCGTTTGAAGGAATCAGTGTCAGTTTATTGTAATGCGCCAAGGCGCTCGACTTATGACACTCGAAGCGCAGCAGCAGCAGCAGCAGCAACAAACTGGTACAGGCAGATACACGACGTCAACTCGTCAATATCGAATTACTCTCTCTCTCTATCTCTTTCTCAGGCCTGCGAGCTGAATGTCACGCTGTAAGGCGAGGATAATATACAGAAAAAAAAGAAATCAGAGTGTCGAGACGGCGATATTTTTTCTGCATAATACAAGTGTATACGCGCCTCGCTTAATAAGAGGATTATGTATAGTCCCTTTATTAAGTATCTTTTCGTGTCGTTACATTAGAGCGCAATAAACGCGGTGAAACTCGAACTCGCCATGCGTGCACAATGTGTATACACTCTAACACGACCGCAACAGTCGTCGTCTTACATTATCCTTCGTAAGCTCGATAGAGAGCTTTTCGCATAAAATATGCCATCGACGTGTGCACGCACCAAGGTGAATCGTCGTATCTGAAAAATCGCATCTCAAGAATATGATATTTGTACTACTATTTCATTAAATATCGCTTGAAAAATTATGTATTACGCGCACTCTAAAAAGTACAAAAGGACTCGTCACATAGAATTCATATTTTTTTCATCTCACGTGCACTAGCGTGTAAACGTTATCGTAGTTAACTGGCGAAGATAGCAGCCGACTCTCTCGAGTTTGAATCTTGATAAGCTCGATCGTCGTGCCTGAAGTATGTATAAGTAAGCGCGCTCGCACGCAGACGCAACTTGAACCCTTTTAAAAGTTCTTCGTATGAAATTCAGCATCCCTCGCTCGTATTATATACGTGGATGGACGCTCGCTGCCGCGCACACACGTCTCGCAGGAATATATATCCTCTCTCTCTCTCTCTCTCTTGCATGTTACGTCACGACGAATACGTATATATATATATATAAGAAAGGATTCCCTTGGCGGATTTAACTCGCCCGCTCGAGTCTTAGGCATTCGGTAGCATAGGCCTTATTCCTCTCTGTACATGCATATAATACACTTGTGTATACCTGTGCGCGCACGCACACACACGTGCCCGACGTCGTCCTCACCTACTGCTGTCATAAGTCAAGCCGATGAATAGGCGAGATTGTCGAGAGCCAAGGAACTTTTTTTTTCTTTTTTTTGAAACAAGCGCGCGCCTCTGTCTACGTTTTCAGGATCGTTTTTCATGCGCTCGCAGTGAATTTCCTTTCTTTCTTTCGTTTCTTTCGCGCGCGTGTATGCTACATGATTGACGATTTATTCCGCGTTTTTCCTCCCCTCTCCCAAAGAGCGCAAAACTTCATTGTTTCTCGCGCAGAGAGTTTTCTGTACCGTATCTAATTTTTTTTTCTTCTAAATATAGTTTTCATTACTTCGTAAGGGATTAAACGGGCATCACCGAGTTCGCTCGCGGTCTCAGACAGCCAGCAGAAAAATTATCCATTCATAAAAATCAAGTCGTCCGCGAGGCATTAAAAAGTTGCACTATCCGAGCGCGTCCTTCCGCATGCTCGATAAAGTCCGCAAAACCTCGGACTCGCGTGCGCCTATAATAAATATCGTCTCGAGCTTGCGTTCGCAATAACCCTTGAGAGGCTAAAAATTGTTCCTTGATAAAAACTCGACGACGACGACGACGTCGTTGAACTCGGGTCGCAGCAACGATCGAAGCTAGACGTGTGCAGATACTTATTCTATACGCAGCGTTATATATTTATGTGGTGATTTAATATTCGAGGAAACTTTTTGAGCACGCGAGAAAAGCGACGGTGTTTTTATAGCATGCGGACAAATTCAAGAGTTTCGTTTTATAAATGGAGAAACAAAATCTCGATCGAAGCCACCGTCGCATCTAAGTATGTGGTAACAGCTAAAGGAGATTTTATTACGTACGCTTAGAATACAACGAGAAAATTAAGACACTTATTAATGTTCATTATTCGTATAATAGCGAATTTGGATTGGAAAAGATCGATGCAGTCGAGCGAAAGGGGAGTGTTTCACGGACCTGATTAAAGAAGAAATTAATTATAGTATATCTATAAAACTTATCTATTTCTATCGTGTGATTACAATTTCATCGTCACTCGCCACCTAGCGTTCGATGCCATAACAAGGTGACGGTATGTCAAAATGTAAACAAAAATACATCAACAACGATATTCATCGTTATATGAGCACTGTATATACAAGCGTTAAACGAATTGATTACTATCTCATGGAAATTCATTCCCGTTCCGCACGCAGCAGCAGCAACAGCCGCTTTGATGTCTGCGGGCCTCGGGTCTAATTGCTTCTATTAGTAATGGGTTCGCCGCTCGGAAGTTATGTACATGTGTCTTAATACAAACGCGCGCGCGCGCGAACGTATAGATAAACGAAAATGGAGTATTTATAAGGGGGCAGGGGGGACGCAGTGTAAATATACGCGAGCAGAGCTCGTTGCAGAGAGAGAGAGAGAGAGGAGAGAGAAAAAAATATCCCTCTAGCGCTCTAGAGCGTGTGCATACATACCGTACACACATATATGTATACCATATCACCAGGCTGACAAACTGGTTGCTTTTCCTGCGAGCTCTTCCCTACCTCGCTTCTATACTCTCCGAAGTCGCACGGAGACTCATTTAATTACAGGTCCGTCGCATCGAGTTTCTCAAATCCGCGCCTCTTTATTTACCGCCACCGCCACCGCCGAGAGCCAACTTGTTAGTCCGACTGTGTGTGCGTGTGTGTGTGTGCAACGCGCGCGGGTTTGTTTTATAACTTCTAGTTTGGCCGCGCCGAGTCGAATGGAAAGATTGCTTTTTCC